AGCCCTTTAGTTGACTTCAGGCTTCATAGAGGGGAAGGAAATTAAAAGTGAAAAAAAGTTGGGATTGAGGGGGGGGGACAGAAGAGTGTTTCAAAGACGAAGGTAAAAAAGGTAGAAAGGTGAGATGAGTACTGTGAAAGTAGTCGAACATGGCATACAGTGGGGTGATGTTAGTTTGAAGTGAGAAGTCAGCTGCCGATTAATAGACTTTTTTGCCGTATGAGTATACGTTGCCCAGGGTGCACCACGTGGAGGTAAGTCTATCCCACACCCCTTACACTTATGCATATTCTAATGCTGGAAATCGGCTTAGATTATTATTTAATTGAGCAGACAGATACATAGATTGATAGATATAAATTGTTTTAGATGTTGAGATCTGCACGAAGATGCTAAGCTATTAGCATACTTTGATGCTCGAATGCTCATTGGGAGAGACCAATGAAAAGACATAATACTGCTATTCAGAATTCAAGGTCAAAGGTACTGTAATGGATTTTTGAGCCGTTTTAGAAATTATTTGGGAACTCTCATGTAAAATTAGAGTCAAAATTCATATTTCGTTCTTTTTAGACATAAGTATTGAATGGTTGAATTGATAAATTAAGGATATTTAGCACCGACCACCCTACCATAAAGTTACTCCCAGAATTTAGAATTAATCCTTAACTGATGTCCATTATTTCGCTTAATTTGGGCCATACTTGTCATTATTGACTTATGGTGACGGGTAGCCTTTGGATTTACAAATAATTGGTTTTATTTTCCTCTTCAAACGTGTATATTTTAATTCTAAAATGACTTTTGTTGGTATTTGGAAACCTGCCATGGGCAGCCTTCTTTTTACCTAATTTGAAATTCTCGTAAACTGAGTATTTGGGGTCACTGGAATTCGTAAACCGATAAGTCTACTTTTATTCGGAGCAAATTTTAATATTTCCCACCTATTTTTTTTATTGTTTCCCCTTCAGTGAAATTACGCGATCGGAACTGGTGATGGTATTGGAGTATGCAGAACAAGATTTGAAATCACATCTTAAAATGCGTCGAGAAAGCGAGGCCCTATCAGATCACTTTGTGGCTTTTATTTGGTCAGAGATGCTTGCCTGTGTCAAGGTTATTCATGATCGACGTAAGTTCAAACTACTTAAGTTTCATGCTATTATTAATTAATAAGTAGCTTGAATTATCTCAAATATCTTGTGCTTAATTTTGCTAATGCATTCCGCATTGCAGTATATAAGGGCGTAGTGGGTTTTCTGGAGGGGTACTTAACAATTTCCTTATAGCTCCATTTTGCCTCGTGTAAACTCAACATCTTCAATGCCTATTTAAGATAAAGTGTTGTGCACGTGGCACCAAGTAGCCTTTCTTTTATTGAGAATTGAATATTCCACTTCAGATTTCGAAATTTAACCTTACAAAACACTTTAAGTCTGGCTTATGACCAATGGAAGTTATTCATTTTCTTTGTGCACAAAATCTATTTTTTAATTGTTTACTGCTGCCTTAAGTTCGTTTTGGTTTCATCACTTTTATTGTTTACATTGTTTTGCAGTGTCTTGGTGTGTTCTCTAAAGCCCACGGAATTTTAGCTTATTCGGAGATATCCAGTCTTTGTTTCGGAATGCCAACTATTCTATTCTCGTTTACTTTTTCTACGTTGTTTCTTTGTCCCTATTGTAATTAAAAAATTTGATATTACAAGACAGTCCTTGCGATATGTCATTTGCCCAAAAGTAGGCATTTTCGAATCCAAATTTCATAGCCTCTGACTCATTAAGCATTTCTACCAATCAGATAAATACACCAGGTTCGATATGGGGTTCCATGTTTTTAAGTTCACAATTTTGGGTAGTAGATAAGGGAGTGTTGTTCAAATGAGTTCATATGCATCATTTTATTACTCAGTCCATTTTAACGCACAGGCGCTGGTATTTAGGTCACTTTAAACTTTATTCTCTCCGAATCCCCGTTTAACTTGATTCTTATCAGCTGATGATAAGAGGAGTGGCTAAGTGCACTGGTTTCACTGTGCTGCTTCTCTGCTTTTCATTACGCGGAAAGAGCTACAATTGTGTAAGAGTATTAGAAATTAGATGATTTTAATTGCTTATAACTTCTTGTTATTACTTGCGTTGTGTGAAGGCAAATGCTATTTCAATTACGTTTAAGTGTCTGAAATCTCTTGTTAGGGGGTGCTAATGACAATGGTGAAAAAAGTGGTCATATCAACGGAGATGTGTTTCCATTTATTGCGTATTTATCAGGTGTTCACCTTCGGTTAGTGAAAATGGTTCACTTCGTCATCTCCCTAATTTTCAGGTTAAAAACCTAAGCTCCCATTAAAGCGTTCTTGTCGTCATTTTTTTCTGAACTTTTTGGCCAGTTCATTAAGTTGATTTGTTGTGTTTGCGGGATTGATGTACTTATCTCTTCTTTAAACTTGGCTCTGGTAGTTCGGGGTTTTTTGATTTATCAGAGCCAAAGAGCACTTGTTTCGCACTTTTATTAGTTTCGTTGTACTATCTTTTCTCCAAGTCCAGATAATAGGGCATAGGCTAGTAATTTCTAACTTTTAATTCTGCCTTTTAGGAATAATTCATCTCGACTTGAAGCCGGAGAACTTTGTGATTGTAAATGGAATGCTCAAGTTGATTGACTTGGGGATTAGTCAACGACTCCCGGTTGATTGTACTCATATGGATTTGCAAAAACCCATGGGCTCGCTTATTTATATGAGCCCTGAACAACTTATCAGCGTGCTCAAGGGACAAGCACCGGAAGTAGTACCTGGACAAGAATCAAAGGTGGCTTGTTATAATTGAAATTTTTTAAGTTATTGATTTGTCGCAACGCTCTCTCAGGTGTTAGGAGTAACACTAGTGTTAGCATGGACGTTTGCAATGCCAGAAGTTTTTTTCAGATGACCATCCGCTTTCCTTAATTCTGGTAAACAAAAGGTGTTTGTATTTGAGTTTCGTGGAAGAATAACTTTCCTCTTGTCTTTTCTCAAGAATTGGGATATTGAACTTGTAGATCGTAAGGTGATGAGAACACTTCTCCTAAAGGCATATTGGGGGTGTGGATCGATGCCGAGTGAGTGGAATGGTCAAGTCCATTAAGTTAAGAGTAGGAAATTGTTTACTTTTTTCGGAGAAGCGGCTCCATGATATCTTCCCTCTAAGATGAATATTAAAAATGTTTTCCAAGGCGGACTTCAGAGACACTGTCACTCTTTTCAATGCACATTTTCAAGGTGGAACTTGTATTGCTACACAAGAAGCTAAAATATCGTTTCTGAAAAGAAAACCACATGCAGTACACTTACTTATCCGATAGTCTATAATTTATCTCCTTATTTCCCTCGAGATCTCCATTGTTGTCTTAGGAACGAACTATGATTTATCTACAGGACGTGATGCAGTAGTTTAACTTTTAAGTCAGCAATCGTCATATACGCATATCCTGAACTAGTCCCATGGTGTCTTCTGCTAAATTATAGTGGTTTTGTTGTTGCTTGATCAATCTCTTATTATTTGACAGATGCGATTGAAAACTGATGTTTGGGCCCTGGGAGCAATCCTCTTTGAAATAGTACATGGGACCTCCCTCTTTGGGCGCATAAATCAAACTGCAATAATAGCAGCCATCATTTCTCCAACTACAATCAACTTTCCTCCTGTTGAGAACCCGATGCTAGATATGGTAAGTTTCCAATTATCCATGCCTGCATACACTTAAAATCGCTTTTTCCCTGATATATATCATTGTAGTCTCTAAAACGAAGTATTGTCAGGGAAGTCGACAAGCGGGCTACAGTTGACGAGCTGATTTGCATTTGTTCCAGACCTCCTTGAGGCCCAATATTCAGAACGACAAGACCCCCCGGGTCCGCTATGTACAGTTTCCACTTCACAAAAATTAAAATTTTCAAGCTCAAAATGGATATTTTTTTACTACAATAAATATACTCCTACGGATGCAAAGAAGGGGAAGGGATGAGATACTAAGGGGTTGATGACGAGGAAGTAGGAGATATGACTATTAGCTAATGGGGAGAGTTAAACCGGATATGTTATTGCAGATTGGCTTAAATTTATGCCTTGGGTTTAGCAGGTTCGCCAGGAATGTAGCCAAAGTTCTGCTTTAGCTGCTCCAAAAAGATGAATGTGAGCACTGTCTGTGGTCCCAAACGAATGAACGCAGGAACGAGACCCTTGAAGAAACCAAGGGGGCCGGTACGCATGACGTCCATACCACATGCAGCAAGACCCTAAAATTTAGAAGGCAATATTACCTATAAAGTGGAAAACAGAGAGAAGGAGAATAAATAAGCTCACTGAGTATTTTCCAGGTGGTGCATTCATAAGACGAGTCTTCATAACATCAAAAGGTTGAGTCATGCAAGTGGCAACACCAGCAGCACCAATAGAGGCAGAGAAGTGGGTGACCGGATTGTCATGAAATAGTCCAGTTGACAAGAGCATAGTCTTAAAGGTATCGTAGAAAGCCAACTGACCGAAGGTCATGAACATAGCCCTGGTGGCTGTCATAGAAACACCGTTAAAGAGTGCACCAACTCCTTCCTCGCGGGCAACACGAATAAGACCATCAATAGCGTGCTTGTAGCTAAAATAAAAAAAGAAATTGGAAGACGTCATTTACAAACAACAACTGAACTATGAAGGTGGATTACATACTTCCTACGTTGGGCAGCTGGGACTTTCACGTCATTTTGCATACTGAAAAGAAAAGAGAAAATGATACATACATGAAATTGAAGTTTGGTAAACATAAATGGGGCCTACCGAACGTTAACCATATCACCTGGGTTACCGACAATGCCACCCACGAAGCCAGCGACCATAGCTACACCTCCGCTTTCCGCGAAAGTCATTTTGCGACCAACGGAATTCTTGTAGGACTCATAGACACCGAATCGGGTCATTGAATAGGTGAGCTGACGAAGTAGGGAGGCACTAAGACCGTTGTACAGACCGAAAATACCATCGTTTTTAAAAACTCGGACTCCCATACCGATCATACCAAACTCCTTGGTTTGTTGAGTTTGGAGATGAACCTTTAATAGGTCTAGGGGATGGGTAACGGCGGCGGCCATGGCACTAGCCAAACCGCCGAAATACCAGTACCCGGCTTTCACAACTTTCTTCTCAGTAGTAGTAGCAGACATGTGAAGAAGAAATGAAAGTATAACCAATGACTGCGCTTCACTTAAATCTGAATAAGGAGGTTGAACAAAACAAGGCTAGTTTAGATTAATAAGTATTGATGTTACTTCTATCGATATTGCAACAAGAAAATTTCTAGTTATTATTTATTAGAACAGTATGAAAACTTTGTATACTGCATTTAATATTAGTTTTACATTCATTTCTCTAATGAAAACTAGTTAATGAATCATCCACGCAATATGAAAGCATAAAAATAAAATTTTTTCATAGATTGGAAAATTAAAAAGATGATATTGAATGAACCTCAAGTTCTGGAGCTTTAGACCTATTTCAATATTTCATATAAATATATTTAGCTGTATACAAAAATCCATTATCGGTTAGCATTCATGAATAATCTTATTATGTCGTTAAATGCATAAATACAGGAAAGCTGACGATATATTATAAGTTTTATTATTTAGATAAGTAGAAGTTTATTTTGTCATAAGAATGTATTGCATCCCATTTTGCACCCGTAATACTGCTTTCTAAAGACTTTTTGGGTTGTTGATACAGACTAGTGCTGGCCATATAAAACTAAAGCCAGGATTACTGAAATAACGTCACAATAATTATTTTTCTCATATGCTATAGTGTACATTAGAGACAGTTTTATTCTCTTCAAATCGCCATTCTTATAATAGTTTACAAACCACGCAAAAGTTGTTCATTCTACAAATTTTTGTAGTACTAATTTGCAAACTCTATTATTATCAGCGAATCGAATAGGCATCATTCAATTCTTGGAGTTGAACTCATATTTAATTATTAAGATGTAATTACTCCTTAAGTCGTAAGTTTCCTACCTTATTCTAGGGGGCCATTCTTTGATAGATTACGAAAACTAAAATAATATTAAATAGGTTAATTGGATAAATTGGCGCTGAACTGAAACTATATAAACTTTACGGGGACGGATTCAGATTAGCGTTCGAGGGCACTCCTGTGTGCATTCGCTTCTCAAAGTGTCGACGACCGATGGGAAATTTCCCTTTAAGCAATCGTTTGGATATTATTAGACCTTTATATTTCTTATAAATCATCTTTTCTTTAATTATGTTTAAAACGAAAGTCTTGCTTCCACCTGATTTTTCACGGAACAAGGAACTAGTGCAATATATATCTCAAGTATGCCACGTTAAGGCCGTTGTTCAGAGTGCTTCAAGACCGCAACTAGAAATTTCCGCTGAGGATCAAGAGAGTCTTCATTTTTCGCAAAATTTGGCCCTTTCGTTCGTTGGACCTGAATTGGAAACTGTTCTTCCCTTATCGCCAGCTATTCTGACTGCTTTTAGAATCGTGGAGATTCAAAGGTACTTTGCCAGGCGACATAGAATGGTTGTCATTGCAGAAAACAATAACAGTTTGTATATGTGTGGACCAGCTTCACGCTTAGAAGCTGCCTCTGAGGTACTGGCTGACGTTGAATTATATTCAGTTTCTCTTGATCCTCCAGTGGAAACTAGCGATTTCGAGGCGCTTTGTTCTGCTTATGATATTTCATCTAAAAATGTAAAAAAGAGGGCTAAGGTAGAAGAAATAAATTTCCTCTTCTACTTTCTTCCCTTGGTTGAATCCAAAATGGATTGTTTGGATCCAAAATCATTGCTGGCCCGGGAGTCTTTTGATGCTTATCGCAAGCTTAACGGTACCCATATATTCTAACATCACCTATTCGTTTGTATTAAATCTACTAAGACGTTTGTTTTCTTTTTAGGTTGTGAAGTACCCAAACCGGTTTCGAATGGTATGTCATTTCTATTTTTTTAAAATTTATTTCTTTTTGGCGTTGGGTTTGTAAATATTTTATATTTCAGGTACTCCTAAGCTGCAAGTTTCTGCAATTTCGAGTGAGTTCTAATTCATAATTTCACTAATACTATAACCCTCTTCGCGTTAACTTCTGTGGGTGGAGTAGTAGCAATGCATCATAACCTAATTTATCAACTAATCATAGTTTTGGGACGGGTGTTTAACACATTATGTATTTAGCTCAAGGTAAGCGAAGTTCCTCCAAACGTCGGAGGCACCGAAAGAAAAATCATTTGGGGCCTCCCAAGTTGAACGGAAGTAAGTAAATTTACGTTTGAATTCATTCTCACTTAAATCAAATTTTTTAGTTACTCAAAGTTTGATTGCTCTTGCAAAAATGTTTTTTTTTCCAATTTTTGCCTGCGCTATACCACGAGTTTTACATCGAGATTTTTAAACGCCCACATTGGGTTGAGCCTAAAATGTATAACTTGTCATTAACCGCATCGTGAAATGTAGTAAATACTTGTGTAAAGTTTTATCGAACTATTGGATATCGAAGTTGCCTTTGTATACTGGGTGGAAAAATTATGGTCATGCCTACACTGATTGTTGTGAAAATGCGGGTGCCTAAGTGGTGCAGTGGTTAACACATTTGTTTGCGGAGTTAAACACCATTTGAGTTAGTTGTATTTTTTAAGCAAGCTGTATGATTGGCATTTCTTATTGGGGCGTCTCCTTTCTACGATTATTCTATTTAAGATGAGTTTTGGAGAATGTTTCCCTTGATTGACATGGAAGTTATTTAATGGAAAACCACAATTGGGAGGACAATACTGGTAGTTATCTAGTCGATGAAGCCAAATCAATAGGGTTTATCTTTCCTTCCACTGAATATGTACCAATATGCGTCATACTGTTTGGAATGCCTATTAGTCTTTGATTAATGCGATATATGCACTTAAGCCAAATTAGGTGTCATAGTTTTAATAGAACTGACAAATAAAGCTATAAAGATCGTGTTTGTATTAAAACACAAGAGCCATATCAAGTTAAGCACTGACACCTTAATCACACCTCATAATGAATTGATCCTAAACTGATTGAGAGTTTTATGGAAACTCACGCTCCCATTATCATTCATTGCACCTACTGCTACTCCATGGCGATTGCTTCTCACAATCGACATTGGAAATAATTCAAGTGCTAGACAAATGGACTAGGGACTTACGTAGCTCTCCTGTTGATTAGCCCTATGTTTGTCGTGCGATCGATGACACCGAGTTTGCAGCCCTTCGTCTTTTAGGTGGATCGCACAAATTAATTGGATGGAGTGAATAGTGTAAAGTCCCAACAATAGCTAGCTCTATGACTGTTCTCACTCCATTAATGGAAACGACTGCTGCTGATAATGAAACAATCACCTCTGTGTTTATCTGCAAAATGGTGACATTGGTCTGATTCAAGTAGTTTGTTTGAATACATTCCATCTGTTGATTGTAGTCATTCTAGTATCCTATGTATTCTTCTTTTCATCTTCCTCTGCGATTCCAATATTAGCATAGGGGCGACGCTCTGGTTATGAATGGAATCGTTTTGCTCACTATTGACCCCAGCCCATGCGATTGCTTTGATGAGGGGAATATAGTATTTTTGTGCTCATTTGATTGTAGCATATGTTAATGAAGGAATTGAGGACGGACTTGGGGTAGTTTCAGATCGTGTATAGAAGAATTACTCTTGACCAAATTTGTTTTCGAGATGATCCCAATTTTATGGGGTCCGCTCTCTTGAAGTTAATATTACCTTCAGGGTAAAGTGTTTTGCAGAGCAATTTCATCGATTTTTTTTCAGATTGTGACTACGATCATTTACGCATCCTTCAGGTACGTGAATTAATGTATAAACTTAACTCATTCTTCACTCCACTTGTGTTGCGTTTTACTAGAGCCGGTGGGTTAGAGATCACTTTCAGTCAGGTGCCACATTTCCCATTTTCATTAAATTATACTAATTATTTAAAAAATAGTCGACAGGCCTAAAACTGACCAAGGCAAAGTTGTTGAATTGATGCATTGTATAAAAGAGCCTTCGGTATATTATGGTTTTTTGTCAAAGATGTGCCAATGATACAGCTTTTGTCGTGCCCATCTGTTCGATATCATTAAGGCGTAAGTCCATTGAGTGCAGTGGGCAAGTACACTAGTTACTTCTGGCCAACTATGCGAGTAGTTATGCCCTGGTCACTTGTTGTGTTAGTCGCATATTGTTTTATGAACTTAGAAAGGTCTTTCCTAATTGTAGTGGCTAAATATGCACATCTATGTTTGTTTAACTGTATTTCAGACTATTCATGCATCCCCGTCTAAACTGATCTCAATTTCGTTTCTTCCAGATATTAAAGACAGGCGTCGGCGGGTTGTTGTAATTGATGGTGCCAACGTGGCCCATAGCGAATCAACAACGTAAGTAACATTCTCACGCCTCTCCTCACCACCAAATTATAAAAAAATTTACCCTAAGGTTTAAAATACTTATTGTTTGCAGACGCAAATTCAGTCTGGGCAATCTCCGAATTGCCTACAATTACTTTGTGAATCGCGGCTTCACGGAAGTGAAGATCGTGCTTCCAGAGGCTTCGAATGAGTGTCGCCAATACTTTTCTGATGAAGAACTCGTCAAACACTTCATCTTTACACCCATTCGACGCCTCATTCCTGGGGAGAAACCCCAACGCGCCGATGATGATAGGTGATGTCAGCTTTAAAATGCTTCTTTTGTAATAGATCCACCATTATCTCTAAAGCATCATGACAGCATATAACTCAGCAGGAATAGGAAAGGCAGTTCTGTTTAAAAGTGAGTGAAATGGACTGAAGGAGTATGGTTCAGGAGAGCTAGGGAACATTACTTCGTCGTAGCCCCAGAATCATAAAGTTCTTTATTTAGTGTAACTTGCTACATCTTATCCGATATTTTTTTTATGAAATGGTTTAATCGTTTGTTACATGCCTATTGGGGGGGGGGGGGGGGGGGGAGTGTATCACCGCAATTTGAAAGATGTCCAAATATATATGAGGTTCCCATTTTGAGATATATGCATCCTCCCATGTCTCCCTTAACCGCAGGAGGATTGAGAAGTTACTCCTTTCTTTGAATATCGATTATTTCAATTGAGCGTTTGAATGCAGTTTCTCAAACCCCTCTACTCTATTACTGAACTCGTGCCCTTGAATTTTGCAAGACAGCGCTTGGCAATTCTTGTATCCACCTGAACGTAGGCTTACGTGATGAGTCTTTACTGGTTTTCACACTTCATAATGCACTTTCGTGGACATTCTAATTTCAATCACTCTTGTTCCTACGTTCACAGCTCTCTGACAATCTGTTTATTTCGGTTGGTTGGTCAAGCCATATCAATATTTTGCACTTCTAATAACCAAGGTTTAAGGATGTTGATATTAGTCGGAATAATTTAACACGATGAAGGTCACTGAACTCAGTTTAAGTTAGTTTGCTGATTTGAGATTAAAATCTATCAAATTTTGCAACCCCAAAAGGCGTTAGAATCTAGTAAATTGCGTTTTCGCAATCTCTCTGGGCTGCATCATCATGTAATTAATTAAATTGGAAGAGGAATTTCATATAAGAAGGAATATATTCTCTAAGATTTGAACAGAAACATAGATATCCCTTTTTTGTTAAGTTAACTTGAAAGATCATACGGAATCACGATTTAGCTATGGCTTCGAATGCTATTTTTTACTGTGGAAAGGTCAATTGTTTGCGGAATTTGCACGTATTCACGTAAATGCAACCTAATGGGGCTCACCAAATAATGTAATTTTAGTACCCGTGTGATCTGACTCATTGCTTTGCTTTGTTTCTTGTTGTATTGCCTTTCCACAAGGCATTGGTGCGCTGTCTGATAACAATCTCATGGTGCCTACATCAGCGCCTATATATGTCACACTCCACTTTGTCGTCACAGTATTGACGCCCTCCTCTCCCCCCCCCCTCTCAATCGTTTAAAGTACACGGGTTTTCAAACTTAACACCTTTCCTTCTTAGTTTTTAGGGATACTTCGCTCTTAGTGAGCATATATCTATTTGCCCAGAAATTTCAGTTGAAAAGGCACAAATTAGGGATTTCTATGCCAAAATTGTAAATGACAGAAAAATCGATTTAGTGAAGAGTAGCGAGTATTGGGAAGAAATCCTACCTTCATCGTGATGCTCGACTTAGAGTTCACCTTCATGTTCTTGCTTTATAAGTCCTGGTCCTCTGAGTTTTCAATATTCATTTCATTAATCTTATTATGCATATATGTACGATCCTTCCCTGCTGCGTTGCTTGTTAATCGTTCTCTAGCTCCTCCTCTAACTAAGCTGTTTAGTGGTGCTTAAATAGTTTTAAAAAATGCAAGAGTCAACATTTGGAGTCGAAAAAACTTTAAATGGTTCATTGCAAAGCTCTTTAACCTCAAATTCTAGATTTTTTGAATCACAGATTCGAATTGTTACCTACTTACCAGCTTAAGTAGGAACTAATTTAAGCTTTTATAATAATACTCAAGCCTAACGAGAAAAGCGTTTCCCTACACTCCTCTTGGTTTTGGGGGTGCTTGAACCTTCCTGATGGAAAACGCGAATTCTACCGGCCAACCTTAACCAGTCTGGTTGATTAGTCCGGTCATTGAGTGTGCACCGATGGGCATTGAAATCCTAGTTTGACATCGGAGGCGAGAGATTTAATCACTTGCTATTTTTTTAGTGTTATCATTCAAATAGCAATGGGATTAGATGGCGTGGTGATATCAAACGATCGCTACCGAGATTTCCTCGCAAGGAACCCAAAGGCCAAAGATTTTCTTATGAATCAGTAAGTCCATTGTTCAATAAAATTAAATCCCGGTATTCTATTTACTAATGAGAAGCTCTTCTGTAATTTTAGAGTCATTCCTTATAACCTTTCGGAGGGGATCTTCGCGATTTCAGATTACCCTCTTGGAACTAACCATCAATCTTTAGACGAACTTCTAACCTTTCCTCCTTAACTTCCTTTTATTTACCAAAGATTGACATTCAATTTCCCCGGTTCTGGAATTATTGCTTCATATTTTAATAACAAAATCAGTATTGATTCCTTGTTTTTATAAAAGTAAATATTTTTATGTTAGCAGAGGCAATAAGATTATGATAGGGTTTAAATAGCATTTACAAGACATAGATATACAATAAAGGTAAATAAAGGGATGCAATAGGAATCAAACTTTCCTTCCGCGCTTTCCACGACCTCTCGCAGGTGAAGCAGGTCGTTTCCCTTGTAGAACACTACCACCTAGAAAGTTGCAAAGGAGATCACGGCTTGACTCATTCGCACCCTGGAAAAGGCGCATCACGAGGGAAGGGGGCGGAGCAGGAGGCAAATGACCTTCCTCGTCTTCATTTAGAGTGTCGTCAAGTGTAACCGAACCAGATAAATTGTGGTTGTTAGTAGAAACGGGAGGAGGGAGAGACGAGGAAGCTGAGGGCATAGAACCGCTAGAATTACGTTGTTTGAGGATTTCTTTCTCCCGAACGCGCAGAACTTCGGGTAAGAGATCCGGATTCATAACGCAATTTTTTTTGTGACTATCCAACTGACACAGAGGACCTACATAACTGCATCCTGACGATCGCCATGGACAAGCGACAGTGTAATCACCAATTATGCTTTCAAGGATAAAATCATGATGTAGTTGTTTCAATGCGATACTCTTTCTATCAACTGGGCAAATTTTTGCGGTTTCCATCCACTTTGTAATGCACTAAAAATATATATAGCAAATAAATTGATATATTTACTGTAAAACAGTAGCTATGACCGCATGGGGCACGGTAAGGATTGATAAAGACTTCAGAACAAATAACACAGAAGAGATGGGGGCTAATTTTATCCGGACGAGCAAATCTGCGCTCCTCATGTTCTGATGATGAGTCAAGAGCATGATCTTGAGAAATTTTTGCCTCTCCTCTAGGCGTGACTGAATTTCGTCCAGCCCCTCTTCTACGAGCCATTATTTAAAATGTTATTTTCAACTGGGCTAGGTAAGTTTATGGCATTTTGGGCTATTTCAAAACTGTCTAATGAAAATATCACGTAATGTTAATTCCTTTGATTAAGATGCATTTTGGGCGAAAGTTTTAATTTTTTATTTGTTCTTATTTTTTGCTATTCGTCGTTGAGGTTCAATCATACAGCGGACCATTTGCTTATTAAAAATGCGATAACAGAGAACACCAGGATAAAGTGTATTTTTGTCGATATTAATTGTAAAGGAGGGATAATTACTCTGCATTACAATAAATTTAATATCGTTCTGATATTACGTTTTAACGGGCATCAAACATTTAGGCAAATTTATATAAATGACAAGATATAATTAGCATTAAAAAGCATTTAAAATGTATTAAATTCGCTTGGATTTAATGATTTGTACTATATACCAGTTAAATTTGGAACACAGTATCTGACTAAATCAATAAATTGAACAGAAGTTATTTGGCACTTCCCTAAATCATAAAGTGAATATAATAGCGCTTCATAGAGTCGATTAAGCTTGAAAATATCTCGTGCAAATAAAATTGCTTAAACACCAATTTATTATATTTACAGAGTATTATATGCAAAATTCAAGGTATTTTATTCCTATTTAGCGTCTTTACTACTCATGTAGATTAAATAGACTCTAATTATGTGTAGTAAAATTATCTTCCAAAAGAGTATGGGTTATCAACAATCGTATATGATTTTAGAAATTGTAATATACAAATTGAGGATTATGTTTTGAAAATATTTCATTCTTGTAGGCATATATAAAGTTTTATTTTTGTAAGCTGAAAGGTAATAACGCGCTTCGATCTGGTGTTTGGTCACTATGGAAAGCGAACAGGTGGAGGATTTGGATGAAGTACGGAAGCTTTTCAAAGTAATGGCAAATTTTAGGTGCAATTTTACTGCCTTTTTGCGTTCAACAATGTTTAAATGTCACCAACGAATATTGGGATAGTTGTTGCGTCAAAATTTTAACCAGTTTTTTTCATAGGTTTATTTATCGTCGCACGCTGTGATTCTTTTATTCATTTTATAATGTTTTATTCTTCATTTGTAGAGCAAATCTCGTAACTCGAAGGATAGTGGGGCTGTTAATTTTAGTGAATTCGACAATAAGATAGACAACCTCGACCGAACCACACTAATGGAACTGTTTGAGGCATCTCGATTTCTCTTCCCTGATTTTAAACCTTAGTTTGCTTCTTTTCTCTGTTGAACATTTATGGTTCTTCATATTTTTCTTTGTTCCTTTTAATAAAAAATATGTTATTTTCAGTTTTTTTTGTGATTTTTCGCCTTTAATGTTCGTATTGTCTGATGTTTTGATTACTATTTCTAGTTCTACTAATGTCGCGAAGTCAACGAGAGTTGTCGATTGCACATCGTAGAAGAAGACGCCATATTGCTCCTATTCGTAATAACGATGTGAGTATTTCTTGAACGTATTAACCATGGAATTGTGAATAATCATTAATTTATTATCTTTCAGAATGATTTGGTTGGCATTCCTTGGAAAGAAGAGAGAGATATTCGCAAAGCTATCTATCATTCACTTCGTGAACATCAAAGTCATGAAACGCCTGATCGACGCCCCAGACTAACTAAAGTTAATTCTCCATCCAAACCGGGGAGGAATCTTAAAGCAACTTCTAGAAAGGCGCCTGTTGCTTCGACTGCTAGGAGAGCAAAAGCTATTAGTGTGAGTTTGCATTTTATATACCGGTCGTTCGTCGCTTCAAATCTCAATTTAATCCAAGTTTATTACAAGAATCCGATAACCAGTGAGCATAGGAAAACGCAAAAAATAGCTGAGAATGATGGAACATTATAAGGGACTTTTGCAATTAGTTGCTCGCCATTCACAACTCTTTCTCCCACTCTCTTTCTCGATAGAAGACCAAAGCAATTAAGGCGTCTGAAAAGTGCAATAAATCAGCGGTTGTGGCTGACGAAGAAGACACAGATGCTGGCATTTCAAAGAGCCCACATCCACGTCAATCTCGCCCGTTGCCTGGTGACTTGTCGCATCAATTCCTTTTCGCTTCCTCCTACTCTCGCTCCTTCGCTCTACTCTCTTCGCGCGCTGCATCCCGAGCGGCTCGAAGGACCCTGGCTCGAGCCGCCGCAGCCAACGCCACTGTAAATCCGACCGATGCCACTCCAGAGAAATCCACTCCTATTCCTCAACGTCGACGTCGTGGCCGACCACTGTCTAGCAATAGTCCCGCTAAGTATGTCAAATATTCTATTTGTTTACTTCAATTTTTTTATAATTTTACTTGGGCTAACGTCAGGCGAGTTATAAGTATATTATTATTGATTTTTGGACTTGATGGTATGTAGGTCGAAATTGTAGTCGACTTTGTCACTGTGATATTGCTAAGAGTCTGCGTAGGTAATGCCATCTTGTTCCCAGGCCAAGTAATAAGAATTGTAGGTTAAGCGATGGTGGCATTTAGTATATAGACACATGTTATTAATTCTCCATCTGTCTAGTTACACATTTGGCAGTAGTTAGACTTCATTCCCATCAGTTAGCATGGACGAATTTTTATTAAATGGCCTATTTCTCACCCAAGTCGCCGTAAATAGGCTATTAATTGCGAAATTTGGTAATTATTTATATCAAATGACAGGCTTTATGATGGTTATCATTGGCCCTTTAATTGACTCGGGTTTCACAGAGGGGAGGAACATCAAAGTTAGAAAAATTCGAAGGGGAAACAGAAGAGTGATTCACAGATGTAAAAGAGACCGACAGACACAAAGGAAGAGAAAAGGTAGGGTGAGTACTGTGAAAGTGGTCGAATATGGCCTACGGTGGGTTCATGCCAATTTGAAGTCAGAAGCCAAATGCCGGTTTCAGACTTATTTTGTGGTACGAGTATACGTCGTCCAGGTTGCATCACGTGGAAGTAGGTCTGTTGCGCATCCCAGTTTTGTAATTAAAATTCACGTATTTTCTATTTGTGAGATAAACTTTTGCTTCGGATCCATGATTCCTCTCCACGCCAATCCCGTATTCTCCTTCCTTTTTCTGTTTTAACGATTTTTCTACCAAATCTTCTTTTTTGCTTTATTTTTACTAATATGCTTTCTTTAACTCCCTTTTGTTCTCTCTGTCTTGCTTCTCATCATCCATTAGTTGTAGGAACATCTCTATTCCCTATAATTTTCTGTTTCTTATCGTCAAACAATGTATTTTGCGGACTTTACTACCATCTGTATTGCTTCTTTACTCGTTGAGAGTGGTTGCTTTTTGAACTATTTCAAGCCGTCATTTAACCCTCCAGTTATCCCTGGTACGATGGAATTCTTGACCTTTCAATAACGTGATTCAAAGGCAATGTATACTGGATACTAGCCTCATGAGCCTGATTTGTGAGAATGGCAATTGTGGAAAAAATAGGCCTCATTGACTGAACTAATTGGACGCTCATCAAACATTTCAATATTAATGTATGACGAATTAGAGCAAACTTAGGCAAACTGCTTATATGACTATGGCGTGGTGGTAAACGTCGTTGCTTGCTGAGTTAGCGATCATGAATTTGGCGTTCACCGGCAAAATATGTGCATGCCATTGGGCAGGCTTCAGTTTGTCATTCCTCTGTTCCCTCCTTTCAGTGGATCTTGCAATAATTCTATTTCTCAGTAGTCAACGTATAGGCCTGTTTGTCAATTTACCATTTGGTTATTAGAAATTGGCAATGGGTACTTAAGGGGGAATTTGCATCACAAAGGCTCAAAGAATCATCCATTTGGCTTCGACTTGCTTCTTTTCTGAAGTTGGTTTTTCACTGACCAATCTGCTAAATATATATTTAAATATCCAGTGGAGAAGCGCCCAACTCAAAGTAGACGAATTCAATTTTTTCTTGTTAATTAAGTAACAAAATTCATTACCTCAGTTATTTATTTCTCAGGTTGAGCAATTTCCACGTTCAATGTTATCAAACTCCTGGCAGAGGGTTGTTTGGTGACGTGTTAGTTTCCAAATGTTAACAATACGAAGATTGTTGTATTTCTGTTTTCTCCTTCCGGATCGAAGTCACCTACAGCTAGAGACTGTGCACGCTCGATATTTGTTGAAAAGCCTTATCAAACTTCTACTTTTGCATATTCGCTTATTTTTTTAGATCCCAAAATAGTCGGTCACCGAAGATCACTAAGCAGTCAGTGGCAAACAGAAAAGGCTCTTCTCCACGAAGAGGGAGAAAGGCGGGAGCTAATGGGGACTTCATGGAAGTCTTAGTCGAGGATGATGATGGCAAAATTGTACCCCAGAGTGAGTTCAACTTTACTCCTATGCTATTTTTGTGAACTTTTGATAAATTAAATATCTTTTTCTGCTTGGGGGAGAATATTTCCTTCGAATTTCACCTTGTTCCAGGTGGAATAACTGGCGTTCAGTTTCGACGTGGATTGGATTTGGTGTTAAAAATTAAATACTGCTGCCTATATCCATATTTGTTTGGTAAAATACACCGCTGTACAGTAAATTTTGTAAGGCACGACTCTTCTACGCCGTTGTACTGTTAGAAAGTCAACTTTCTACCACTGCATATCTCCAGGGAGAGATTAGGCAGAGGTGGAGTCACCCTAATATATTTTATGAACTCAGTAAATGTAAATTTTCTCCATATTTTTCTTAAGTTTGGAGATTGAAATATCACTTAACTAATTTTTTTGTCCCGATAATTATTAAGTTGCCAGGAGCTGTGTATCCGCATATGGCTAAGAATAAGGGCCGATTTATGGGCTAATTGGGCAAGTTTGCTCTTCTCGAGACAGTACATAATCAAGGTCACGTAAAGTTTTAGTCAATAACCACTCTTTCCCATATTCGTCCAAGCTCTTTGCTCAGTTTACTATCCCCGCTTTTTTGCTCGCTTGGTGTTTTTTTTATACATTTTCCGCCAGATCTTCTGTACCAACTTTCTTTTGGCTTATAGTGGTCTGTGGTTTTTTTTGATTTGGGCTTTTTGCACTAATAGGCACCGAAACTTGTGAAATTTCTAATTATAATCAATTTATGCTGGCTATATTGGGTTTCTAATCTGTGCCACATAAAGAGTCTTTCCTAAACATGGTATTTTATTTGCTCTTCTAGTCTTTCGGAGGAATTCTAACGGCAAAACCACGCCGGTAAAATCCCAACCACAGAAATTGCCCTCCCCCCATCGTAATGGAGTAGGCAGACCAACTCTTTCGTCGTCCCGACAACAGCAGGGTTTGTCCACAGCCACTTTCCCCGAAAAATGGCAGGATAGTCGGGGCCAGCCTGTCAATGTACAAGATTTTGTTGACTTTCTCTGCTCCTACGGTAAGTCTGATCTTCGTGTGAAGAGCATAAAATGTATCCCCTAAATCCGCTCATTAGACCTCCTTCAAATACCGGACTAGGTTGGGTTACTTAAGGCTAACAGGTTGCAATGTCATGAGGGAACGGTGATTAGTGGAAGAGGGCTTGTGGATGTGAAGAGATGATACCTATTGCCACATCGGGAGTGGAAGGTAAAATGTCTATCTAGCGTCTGGTATGCAACATAGTAGAAATGATCATCTCACAACAATTCCACCCGCTGACTTGTGAGTCTCAATACGATCGTTCATTGGAATCTTCTGGACAATCTCAAATGTTATTGGTTATGGCTTGTTGGAGGTAAAATAGGAACTGCAAGACTTATTAATTAGTGAGGATTACGACGATGGATCACCTCTCTAGATTCTAACTATGATCCAAAATTTTGTTATTTTGGAAATCGAAGCTCTCTTGAATACCCGGGAAAGTTAATTTCAGTAAAAAACGATGTGGTTTTGAGATTTGAGTAATATAATTATTGACGGATCCCAGAGCCATGCATTGACTTCTGTGAAACATTTGTTTATTTCTCCTACACTGGAGATCTTTTTAAGCTGAAGGCTACCGATGGCCGCTTGGAATAAAATTTATCGGATCAGTTTATTGAGCATAATCAGCACCTAACCAATGTAGGTTTCACCTTTCAATAGGTATAAAGTACAGCCCCATTTGATTATAGAATAGATTTATGGTCTAAATTCCTTTTGCTTTTGTCCTTTTTCAGGTACCCCATGCATGGACCAGAGGCTGGCTTGGTTTATGAATGCTCCAGGTCATCGATGTTCTACAGCATTGAATGGTGGTGGAAGTGCGCGTTCACCAAACAGGACGTCCAGCACTACTCGTAGGGGTACTGTTCGTGTCTTTCCTTCCTGCTCTTCACCGAAGATCTCTGCCAGACCGGTTGTTGCTCCTCAACAGAATCACAAGGCTCTGGTACTCCCTGTTGCGCGCAAATCAGTGTCGAACTGGCCGGTCCAACATCCGGAGGATAATGACGATCAGTCTCCGGAAAGGCGACTTGCAAATAATGATGAGGCTGCCGAAGTGAGAATTGATTTTTTGAGTGATATTACCAATTATTAGGAGACAAACGCATACTGGAGGGATTAGGATTAAGGAGGAACACCAATAGTTATACCCAGTGATTAAAAAAAACAGCACTGTTTCTGACAACAAAACTACTTTAAGTACAAATTGTGAATGATTCTCTAACACAATGCCTCAGTCTCTCCCAAAATATAAGAACACTGTATTGGACTGTATTGTTATGATAGAGGAGCTAAACTGGAGTACGAGAAGGAATTGGAAAGCAAGGAAAAATACGCCATTTCTTAGCTGGTAGATAAATAAAAAGAATTTAAAAGTACAATGAAGGTGTTGACTGATTATGCGTTATTCGCCTCTGAATGACCAGTAAAAGTATTACCTGTTAAGTAGGACGAACATGAATTTGAGTGCTCTTCATGCCCATCATAGTTCTCTAATGACCCATCTTAATCTGAGGATATGGAATGGAAGATGAGGTTGGACGACTGATTGGAAGGTGTTCGTTTCAATGAAAAAAGCTTTAGGTATTTCTCGAGAATGAAAATTAATGTTGGCTAATTGCCTCGAAACATGGGCTATTCACTAATCGGATTCGTTTTGATGGGCTCTATCATTGTAGCGTTTTGCAAGAAGCATTGTTTATTGATTACTAACTTGACACCACTTCAATGCTTATTTTAGATTATCTGGCTTTTTTCATTTAATTTTTCTCTTTTCATCTTTAGGCGACCAATGAGGATACTTCAGAATTCGTAAAGCTGAGGAAATCAAAATCATCTCCCGTCATCGTCGATAATGATGGTAACTAAAGCAGGATTTGTAAATGCATAAATTCTTTTCTACTTATATTATTATCAGTAGTACGTTTTGATCATTTAGTAATACATTCTATCTTTACACCCATGCAATGTGGTTCTAACGGGTTAGTTAATTTAATCGTTTTTTCTTCATTTCCTATTTTATTTGTAATTCCAACATACCTTTTTCCATGTCTCTCACCTCCAAAATGTTATTATTTTCGTTATTATCATCCATTCACTTGGGCATCTTAATCTCAAAGTGGTGAGAGTTTATCCAATTGATTTAAATTTCCTTTGTTTTTATTGTGTTATTTTCAGTTGCGAATGGAGTTCTTACGAGGAAACGAAGAACTGCCGTGATGAAGCAGAACAAGAAAGTCATGGAGACTGTAAAGAGGAACAAGAAACAGGTAATGAAGTTAGTTATAAAAGAAGGTAGACAATTCAATGCATATGGAATCTAGTTGAAGCGTTCAGTTGAAGCTAATATTGACTTACTAATTGGGCATATTGTTGCCTGGATTTCAAATTATGTATAGACTTAGGAATATTAGGATCGTGATCTTCTTTGTACTTAAGTTTCTCTTTATGTTGCAATTAACCTCGATATTCTCATTCATGCTAGTTTGATGTATTTATTGGCTTAATTCTACGCGGGTGTATGGAGTTGGCCAGTTTTGTACAAAATTGCACTCTAATTAACTCCGTGTGTTAACTAGTTTAGTCAATTAATCTCAAGTAAATTTTATCAACGATTTCTATCGCACTGATTCAATGCGCTTCCCAGAAATATGCTGTTACAATTAGGCAATCGGCAGTCCTTAAATTAGCCCGAGCACATTTAGCCTGCAATTTCTCAAATTTTGAATTTTTTGCTTCTAATTCAAGATATTCGTCGACATTCTCCACCGTCCTTTTGAACTGGTCATAATTAGCTATCAAAGACTTATAAGCTCTGGTTAAATATATGCCTCTCCTTAGCAATGTCGTTGTAATTAAATTGCATTGAACCAAGTTATGATACAATTAAGGATGACTCAATATGTAAATTTAATAAATGTTATAAATGATTTTCTTATATGTTGGATATTTCGAACCTTAAGAATTGTGTGCGCCTTAGCTCTTATTCCACTAAATCATTTATTTATTTAAAATGGCAGGTGTTTTGATAGTTATCATTAGCCATTTAGCTGACTTCGGGCTTCATAGAGGGAAGGTTCATCAAAGTAGAAGAAAGTCGAGGGGTGGGGAACAGAAGAGCGATTCACAGATGTAAAAGAGGCAGACAGACACAAAGGTAGAGAAAATGGAAAGGTGAGTACTGTGGAAGGGGTCGAAAATGACAAGCAGTCGGGCCATGGTAGTTTGAAGTCAGAAGTCAACTGCCGCACACCCCTCCTCTAAATCATTGTAACTTTCACCGCACAATAGCAAAACAAGACCTGTTCGTTTGTGAAGAAGTGAGCAAGGAAATGAAAATCATTAGCTGAGTAGACTGAATATGAAGACTCTAATTGATTAGGTAAGGTTATATGGCTCTTGAATGGTGTATATATGAGAAGACCAAGAGTATCAGTATTTGTGGGGGGGGGGGGGGGGGGGAGGGTAATATCGGATTATTGAACACTCAAATCAGTTCATATCTGATTAAATCATGTTATGTACGTCGTTATATAAGGCAACTCGGGTCGGAAACGGTTAATTTATGGCTAGTTTTAACGCTACTTCTCTTTTAAGGAGCTCAAACCAAAGTCAAGAAGTTTGAATAAGAAGTCACCTCTCAAATCTAAGACGAGAAAATCCATCCCAGAAAAACCATTATCCTCATCACTACCAACGACGACGACAACATCAAATCGGTCATCATTTCCTTCTCCCCTCTATAGATCCGGGCTTCGATCACAAGCTCTACTGAGAACTAGACGTCAACAAAGGCTGCGTCGATAATGGACAATTAGAATTGGCATCGTGATGTTGTTCTTCAGGTTTTTATTCTTTTCTTTTTGGTATTTTCGTTTACGTTGAAAAACAGACATCTCAATGCATTTCCTCCTTACTGCTAGTTTGCTGCATGTTTGGCTGTTCTCATTTCATTTGTAGTCTTCTTTTGAAAATTGCTCCTTGTTGTAAAGCTCGAGTTTTAAGATCAAAGGTATGGGTAAGAGTACTAAATAATGACTCAAATATTGTGGGTTTGCTTACAGAAATGCTGAAGGCGAGGATACGTCGCAAGAGCACCTGCAATACAAATAGCCTAAAGGTCTATAAAGTAGCTTCAATCCTAACAGCAATGCTACTTCAAAAGTTAAATTAAGTTGAGCTTGTTGTTACCTCCTTCAAAAATCTATTGATTTGGAAGGTCAACTGGATCAAATGAGAAGATTAAGGTTTGAGTTGGAGCGCAATGCACTGGAGAAGGAAAAGAGGATGCAAATGGATTGGCATAAGGAATTGAGATTTGGTGGTCCTGAACGAATTGAGTTGATAAAAAGGACACTTAGGTTATATTGAGGAAGTAGATTGATTCCACGTCCTTATTATGACAATGAACAATCGATACCCAAAAAGCATCGTTTGACAAGTAGAACGATGTTCGGTTTTTCAGGTCCTTTTGAAGTAATATTTAGTGAACGATTTCACGATCTGCATAAGCTAAGTTTGTCAATTCAATATTTATCAAAGTGTATGAAAGCGTGTTTTGCACCATAGTACCCATCTCCCAAGTCTGAGTTCAAGATATCGATGCTTATCTAGTGGTGTTGTTTAATTTTTGTCTGCGGGAGAGGTATAAATTTACAGTCTACCCAGAAGGAGAAGGAAGTTCCCGAAAACTTACATTAGGGTTCAAAAAATTTTAAGGGTTAGTCAATTCTTCGTTAAAAATGGGGAGAAAGGACATTTTTCTTGTTATGGAAAAGTATTCACTAATTATTCTTGATTGTGCAAGATTTGCTCTTTACTAAAGCCATATGGTGAAAATATTCCCAATGAGCATGAAAAGTGTTATGTTCGCATTTCATTACGACTAATTTAAAGACAAATTTTGAAGTTGATAATGAAAGCTTCTTGGGACACATTTGAACGACGCAATTACCGCCAAATTCGAAAGGTGTTGAGGTGATAAAGTATGTGCTACTTTTTAGATTGGCTGAAAGAGTAGAGTAGTTGATTAGGAGTAAAAGGTTGTTTTAATAACTCACTCAGTTACTAATGTTAAATAATAGTTGAGGTCACACTTAATCTTGATCAAAAATATAGTAAAAACTTAGATCGACAAGTATATATTTCATAGCTGTTATATAGCAAGAATACTAATAATGATCAACAGATAAAACCAGATCCCTTAGTTTGTACAAAGCGGCTGAGAGGGGGCGGGGTTCCGTATTCTATCTAGAATTTCATAGGGAGTGGCTTGATCGACGTCTTTTAATCCATCAAAAGAGAACAGAAAGGGGAAAGGAGAATGGAGACAAGTTATCGATGGTACCAACCAGGACTCCGCTTGGTGAGCACCGCGACTGTTGGTCTGGTGGTTGGTGACGAACGTCTTCAATCGCCCTTCTCATTGCCCCACGGGTAGTGGAAGGCAGAATTTCATGAAAGAGAAGGAAGTTGTAAAGTCGGTGCAGATGACGTCTGCTAAAGGAAATAATCACCAGATAACAATTTATAGTGCGCCAAAGTTGCATCCAATTTTGGCATAACATACTTAACCCTGTTCGCCTTTGATTTTTCCTCATGGATGTGGTGATTTCAATCCTACTAAGTAATCTGATATCCTTGCGTACATTCCGTACAAACCGTCATTCAAGAAGTACATTCCATTCTCTGTGTATGAAATGCTCTTTCGCAAGAATCTCTACGTGCACTCCTCAATTAATTAAATCATCCAGACAACGTCACTTATTCTTTCCTATATTTTGGTCTGCAGACTTTGTATTCTAGTCGTTAGATTTAATGCAGTAATCGCTGACTTTGCGCAGCAGTAAATGTGTTACAACATTCTATTGGAGTTACTTTCGTAAAAACACAGATACCTAGGTGAATTCAAGCAAACTCCTGAGTGATTGAACTTTTAGCCCTAGCTTCTAATAAGTACAGAAGGATGCAGTACATTTGGGATAAAATCACTTTGAATGTCACGTGCAGATCAATGAAGTGATGGGACATAGGAGTATATCAGAATCCGGATGCTTTGTTAACACTTCACTTAATTACTAATTGGAAGTCAGTGATTGGAAGAAGCCCAAACACTTTTCGATTGAGGTAAGCATTATCCTATTTAAATTACAGAAAATAAAAGGCGATTTTTTGTCACTGGCATTGGAGCATCCACGTAGTGACCTTCAAGTCTGCCTGTACAGAGTAGGTAGAAAAATGGCTCCTCTAATTCTACCTAATCTATTCTATCTAACCAAGTTTTGCATCCACACAGCATTCAAATATTTATTCCCTGTCGTCTCCTCCTCTGTTGTTCTCCTACAATCCTCCAATACTGTTTTGCTAAGAGATGCTATATCCTGTTAGTCTTTTAGACCTGCATAGGAGGATATCTTAAAGCCCTCCTCGATGGAACTCATAAATCGGCTTTACTGTAGGGAGTAGTGCCACTTTTGGGATCTTACCGGAGTGATGTCATTAGAAGGCAGTCTCTTAAAAGCATCAGTAATCTTCTCGTCTGCCGCAGCACTGCATGACTTGCGAGAGAGAGAGAGAGAGAGAGAGCGATGGGTCTCCCTGAAATCAATAAGAACGTGATCTGGGAATTGGGTCTCACTAGAAGTGCCACTTGTAATACCGTGTGAAGAAGGCTGGCAGATTGGACTCGAGCTGGTCGCTGTTCAACGGTCGTTGTAGCCTCTGCCCCCTCAACTATTTCTTCGTAAAAGGGTTCATGGAATTCGTCTAGTCTTCACAATGAGGAAAAATCAATTCAAGTCAAACCACTTTAACAAAGATTGCAAGAATTTTCACCAGTAATGGTACATATAACAGTCCAAAAATTAAAACGATGACTCAACAGCGGTCTCTTTTGCTACTATAAGATAGAGCATCGCCAAGCTACACTTTAAAGTTAATTCACAAAGATAAAGTGGCTGTTAAAATATAAGGCATCATTTCATACACCACGTCGACTTGCCTTACTATCATGGCAGTGGTATATTTTATGCTGTACAATCCCACACGCAGATCGCACCACTGGTGTGAATGTGGTTTATCCACTCACCACTTAAATATAAACTTCAGCAAGAAAATCCAGACAGAAAGCAAGTACCTTCCAACACAAACATTGTCAAGTAGGAGAGAAATAGGAAATTGCATTCTGTGAGCCAAGGAACTATCTACCACCCAACTCGTGGTTGGTATTGCCTTATCCACAACATCTTAATGACTTAAGTATTTAGGAGAATTGCATTCAGACTGGGAGACAGATGCTCCAGACATCAGTCTTCTTAGCCTCACATTTTCACGGTGTAGTGAAATAAGGGATACCCACAAGGAATTGATCAAATTCAAACGTAAATAAGTACAATTTTTCCCAATTAACAAAGTACAGAAGGTAAATACCATTAAACACCTATTTAAATGTACTTTTTTCTTAACAGTAAGAATCATAAAAAACAATCCTAACTCTGACATCTTTCAGCCAGTCAGTAGTGCTCTTTTACTGTTATATTTAAATTAACACAACATTTCCCAATGCAACATATTAAATTATTGCATTAAATAACAATTAAGAGAAAGTATTTCAACGCAACCTCATTGTTAACCACTAATATTGTTTGCCAATCATAACAAAGATTCATGTTTCCCTAAAAGGCGTGTGCGGTAGACCTACCTCCACGTGGTGCAACCTTGACAACGCATACTAATATGGAAAAAGGTCTACAAACCGACAGTTGACTCCTCACTTCAAATCTCCATGACCCCACTGTACAACATATTCGACTTCTTCACAGTACTCATCTCACCTTTTTTCTACCTTTGTCTGCCTCTTTTACATCTTTGAAACACTCTTCTGTCCCCCCCCCCTTTCGACTTTTTCCCTTCGACGTTCTTTCCTCTCTGTGAAGCCTGAAGTCAACTAAAGGGCTAATGATAACTATCAAAACGCCTGCCATTTGATATAATAATAATAATGTTTCCCGAAAAAACTAGCCAGGAACTCTAGAAGTCCTTCCTCTAAAAGACTCAGTTTTCGGACTCACCTTTCAGGTTGCAAAGTAGTTAACTTAGCAACATCAATGAGGCCACTTGGTGAGGGAGTCATTGGTGCGGTATATTTTTGAAAGATTAGTGGGATGCTGCTGAGAACCATCATAAGTTGCTTTCGCATCTACACCAAGGGATTGTGCCTACAGAAATATATGAAAAGAAGAAAATTTATATTGTGCTGCTAAGAAGGAAGAAAGAAGCAGTTAACGTAGATCAGCGTCAAAAACAAGGCTTAATTGCCAAGAGGTCGCGTGGTTGTGACCACCTTGTTCGCTAGACAGATGAACACAAATTTGATCAAACTCAAACGCCTCTACATCCATAGAGGACCGGAGGCCACCGCACACATTCATACAAATGTGGGAAATCGCACATCCTATGTTTGTCCTCATTTTCCTTTTACATAAGAAGGAACTAGTGACAAATATAAATGAGGAGATTATTAAAATTGGTGTGCGATAGACTTACCCCCCACGTGGTGCACCCTGGGCAACGTTTACTCATACGGCAAAAAAGCTTATTAACCGGTAGTTGGTTTCTAACTTCAAACAACCATGACACCAAGTCTATTAATCGGCAGTTGACTTCTGACTTCAATTACCATGATCTATTAACTGGCAGTTGACTTCTCTATGTCATATTCGTTATATTAACTGGCAGTTGACTTCTCACTTCAAACTACCCCGTCAATTACCTGGCAGTTGACTTCAAACTACCATGATCCCCTTATTAACCGGTAGTTGGTTTCTAACTTCAAACAACCATGACACCAATGCATGCCAAATTGGACCACTTCTACAGTACTCATCCTACCCTTTCTCTGTCTTTATGTCTGTCTGTTTCTTTTACATCTGTGAATCATTATTCTGTCCCCTCTCGGCTTTTTGTCACTTTAATGTTGCTCCTCCGCCTACCATTTGAAATGAATAAACTTTTAAAATTTGAATTATTATCAATCACTATGCGTCGTGGCCATATATCGAAATTTAACACCGAAAAGAGTAAATGAAAGTGTTTCTTTCATCTATTGGGACAGGCGATGCGAAAATAATTTTTTTGTGGTGAAAAAAACTTGGATCCACTCGATGTCAACCTTAAATTTAAGACACAGAAGGGAATAATAAGAGATAAAGCAACCTGTCTGCCTATATTAGGGAGCTATTCACTGCTAAGAGTTCGCATCCGACCACCACTTTGAACTTGATTTTGCCAGTGTCCACTGATGCTTGATCGCTGACGGGATAGAGGCACATAGGGACTGTAACTGAGGTAATTACGTGCCGACTGAGATGTGCTAGCCGACATGATTGCCATAGGTGGAGATGAGGCAGTTACTGATGGCGGTGACAGTGGGCTAAGATTGACGTAACTAGGCGGGGAAATAAAAAAGGAAATTGAAGCGCTGGTAGTTGAGTTAGTGTCAATGGGTAAGGCCTCAAACTTTTAAAACTGTAGAACTTGAAGTGCATGCATTAAGCATGAGGTAAAAGCAACTGAATTCGATTTTTTAAACATCTTACAGATAACTGGAAGCCTTATTAAACAAAAGACCTTTACGGCAAAGTCGAAATACCTGGCACGTTCCTAAGGGGATTTAAGCGGTCGGGAACCTCGATGCTACCCCCCTCCCAGCCTTTGAAATGTACAGTGAAATTCCTCGCTTGTTCGCAACTGCCAAATCCTTCGTTACCTTTATACGGATAAACATCCAAGTATAAACTTATCTCACCCCAACTTCTACTTCTCGATCTCCAACACACACCCACTCGTTTCTCTTTTCATCATCCATGGACAGATCCCCAGCCGGATTCTCATCAAAGCAACTTCCTCAGTATGCACTTTATTTCCTCCTTTAGATCCAATGCTTGTGACTAAAATCTTGCACTACTATGATGCTTAGAAATGACCAACCGAACAAGCTAATACCGGGGACTTATTGGTTTCGATTAGGGGTAAATTTTTACATTTTGGTTCAAATAAGCTTGAAGTTAGTAGGAGAAAGACAGATTAAATCATTTACCGCGGCAAGTTTGAGGATAAAACTGAGGTTTGGCGTGAAGGTTCAGAAACGGCAGAATTCAGAGGGGGGACATTGGTGACGGTTTGACTATGCAGGCCTGCAGAGAGAAAAAGGGGTAATAAGAAATGTCCCCTCATTTCTAGTTTACCTTTGCACATTTATGAAAGCGTAAAGTCGGATACAAATACAAAGAGAGTGGGGGGGGGGGGGGGGGGGGAGAGCGAGAGAAATGCTAGCTAAACACGCAGTACCGAGCCTGGGAAAGGAGGAGTCTGGACGATTGCGTGGGAGTGCGGGTGCATGCTAACAGCTGCAGTAGCGCAGCTTCTCATTGTGGTGAAATAGATAGACAGACAGGCCATGTGGTTTGAAATTGGGTGAGAGGAATTGTCTTGATAGTAAGGTTTTTATTACCTAGAGGGTTCTTTGACACTGGGCTTAGATAAACAAAGCCAGACAATTTTACGTTTGTATTGACAAGGAGGGACGGGAGCATTAAGCAACGCAATCAATAGGGCAAAAAGACACTTGATAAGTGGCACGTTTGGCACAAACGTTAACAGAACAACATCCCTCTAAAGTAAAAAAGTAGGAATATAAGCGATATACTATATTCGACCTTTGGGTTTTCTACTCCGGTTAATTTTCGTAAAAGGAAAATCCCAAGTCACTTAAATGGACACGCTCCCATCATTCGTTTGGTCAGGGAGAGAGAGTTACCATATTTGGTCATGCCTCACATTACCATTACAACACCTCTCTCAAGATTAACGGCATCGTGCAGTGTTGATTTGATTGCATTGATAACATCCTCATCTAAGTGTGCTTGGTTGTAAAAAGATAGTAAGAGATTGAGGCGACACGATTGACCACAAACTCAAACATAAATCTAGGAGCTAAATTAGTAAGTTTGAATATCAGAACACAACCGTTCTGATAACTCCATGTTTTCTTAATTCCAACCAAGTAAGACTTTCGCTTAAAATTTTCTTCTTGATACCTTTATTGGACTCACTTGCTGTTAGTAAAAATCCACTATCTATTACTCCAACTATGGTTTAATAATTTGCGGGTCGAATACATAGAGCTCCACTTGTTTTCTGCACTAAAGAATGTGCAATTGCATACAATTTTTCAAAATGATCGTGTTTTACACGAGTGTTCAATGGATCTAATTATAATTAACAAAGCTGTTTGAAACTGAATCAGCTTGAAACACTCTAAAGTGAAGAAGTAATTTAGAAGATTTTGTCCCTTTGACACAAAATTGCCTCAACCAATGCATCGCATAATGACTCACTTCGAAAGGCATCAGACGATTTTAATGATAAGCGCCTAGACAGGGGAATAGGCAGTCTCGATAAAAATTTTAACGCAAGGAGCCATATTCCGCAGTCCCTCCGTTACCACTTTCGTAGGCTTGCAGTTCGTATATTAGGTTGGCAACTAAGTCATTGCCGATTTCAAATAAGAAGGCAAATTCGGAATTTTTGTTTAAAAATATAACTTCATTCAATTAGATATAGGCCGTTCTTGTCGATGACCTTTTTCCATCGTTCTGGCAGAGTAAAAATTCCCCGTCCGTAAAATGTCTCGTCTTTGCTATTAAAAAACTGAATTAGGTGTGATCCGACATCATCTGCGTTGTTAAAAATTTTACCATTTAAAGAGTTTTGCATGGAACGAAACAAATGCTAATCCGAAGGCGCAAGGTCAGGGCTATATGGTGGGTGTGACAAAACATCCCAACCCAGTTCCAATAATTTTTGCCGAGTAACCAAAGATGTGTGGGGCCTTGCGTTATCATAATGGAAAACAACACCCTTCCGCCGATTTGATAATGCCGGCCGCTTATCTTCAATTGCATCCATCCTTCAGTTTTTCGAGTTCTTCAACATACACATTTGAATTTATCGTTTGGTTCTGCGGCATGAGTTCAAAATACAAAATTCCTTTGTGATCCCCCCACCAGACTGACAGCATAATCTTTTTTTGGTGAATCTCTGCTGCTTTTGATACTGTTTGGGCTGGTTGATCTTGCTTCACCCATGATCTCTTGCCAGTAACATTGTTATAAACTATCCACTTTTCGTCGCCAGTAACTAGGTTCTTCAGAAATGGATCATTCTCATTACGTTTCAGTAGCGAATCACAGATGCTAATCCGTTGCGTCAAATGAATTTCCTTTAACTGTTGAGGGATCCATAAATCAATTTTCTTGACATAACCAAGGGTTTTTAATTTTTTTCAATGCATGTATGCGACACATTGAGCTTCTCTGCAATATCTCGTGTTGTGCTGTGACGATTTGAATCGATAATGGCCTTGATATGGGTTTCATCCACTTCGACTGGGTGGCCAGATCGTTGTGAATTTTTCAGTGAAAAATCACCGGAACGAAATCTTTCAAACCAATTTCGACACTGCCTTTCTTCCTCACGGCTTCATCTCCATATACGGCACATAACTTCTTTTGTGCTTGCGATGCGTTCTTGCCTTTTCGGAAGTAATACAATAAAATGTGTCGGAGGTGCACGTCCTGTTCTTTCATTTTTAAATTGGGATAAAAACAAAACTAAAGAACTAAACAAAAAAATTTTTTTACTAATTAACCTAGAAGCCCATACAGTAAGAAAAAAAATATAGGTTAGATTAGGTTAGATGCTCTGGCCACGTTAACAAAACAAAAGAAAGTATAGAGTGAATCCGTCAACAAAAACGGCAATGACTTAGTTGCCAACCCAATAGTACCGTATCACTTTCAACCCCACCTCAAGGAGAATTCGAGCAACATTTAGCAAATCTAGAACGTGCTACGAGTATTATTCAAAGATTTCAATAACTCTGACCCATTTTAGGCAAAGACACATTTAGGTGAAATTTTGAGGGTAGTGGTTAACATGCTCGTAATTTCGATGTCCGCCGGTGTAACCCTGGTAGGCGAAATGGCCAACCGCATTGGTTAAGTCTGAATAATAAAGAGAGTAGCAGAATTTGCGACTCAATGATGCCACCCTCTTAACTAAAAAGCCTTCAAGGACTTAACTACTATGGACGTTCCAATTCTAACAAAATACAAAAGAGGGTAAGTCTTAATTAAACAAATCCCAGTTTCGGTGTAACCTATCTTTGAGGGATATTTTTGAGGAACTCGCACCAAATTCCGAAGATGGAAAGAGATAAACGCAGGAAATTTCACAAAATTTGATAAAAGGAAGAATTTTTAAGAACCAACATGAACGACCGTTTTAAGGGCATCTTTGGCATTACTAGACAATTTGCCACTAACCCAACAGAATAGGACATATATACAAGAAAATTGCTCCAGTTTGTTCCACCTTCCCAATCTATATGCTTATTCTTAAATACCCACATTCAAATTATTTCATCAGCCTTTGACAACCCTTTACCTATATTCATAATCTTTTTTTCAAGGTTAGCTTCGTTTGTCCCGGCTTCCATTACACAACACAGCCTGTCTCATACCTTAATCACCATCTTTAATATCTTCAGTTAGGTACTCTCTATTCGCAGGTTCTACTAATTTTAGAATCCAGCTGCCTTTTGCTTTGAACTCCTTTTTTAACTCTCTTTCTATATATTATTTAGTAATACAATGATGTAATATACAGACAAACGATATTATTCTTAACTTGCCTGCAGTTTCCGTTTCATTGTTCGCCTCATCGTCTGAAGAAGCCGAGGGAGGTGGGGAGGGTTTACCCGAAGGTAGAGATGAAAGTGGAGACACTGCAGCAGCTGCTACTTTCAACGCAGCTTCCCTGATCTTCTCTCGGGTGGAGTAGAGTTGGCCCGTGCGGGGTTTCTGTGCTGTTGGAGCAGCGTCCCAAGGCACTGAACAAGCCACTCCCACCACTCCACCACTGGACGAGGTGTGCTGATGCGTTCGAGACCACTGATGCATATAGGTACAACCAACACTATTGGTGGGAGTGAAATCACGACATTCAGACACTGCGCGAAGTACTGAAATTGAGTTTTTTGCGCCTAAGTCAAAGGAAATGGAAGTGTATTGTCAGGATCTGAAGTAAATGAAATCCAAATGGCACCAACGTGCAAGCAAGAGAAGCAGTAATTAACAAACACGTTTGCGAAGTCAGGCAACCGCCCTGGTCAATTGGAAAGTTTTTTTCTCATAGGGTGACACCAGGATACCTTCTCACTATCCAAGTTAAGTGCTGTGAACCCTTCTACTAATGTACATACGAACGTTCAAGATCAAGTCTACAGGAGTTCCACCAATGCTATTTCAGAGATATAGCTGTGTCATGCTGACATCCAAAGACCCAGCAAAAAACAATTTTTGAGCAATGCACAGGAGACTGTGCAAAAAGGCCAAAAAGACCCAAAAACTGAAACCTCTCGACTAAATCGCACCCCGGAAATGAATATTTTCTAAGGGAGTTTATCAAATGGTCTGATTCTAAGAGACTGAATACTAATATACAAATTGTATTAGCTCTTTATTGCTGAAAAAGAAACCATTTAGAGGAGTTAACGAATCGGCTTATTTTCGCAGAACGGGTAGACTTAAGTCCTCACAGTTAACAAGTTCACAATTTCTCATCTATTTCTGTGATTTAGGTAGTTGATGTATTTAAAGAAAGAACAATTTAACGTCGCCGTAAACCAAATACGAAGGAAATGCTTAGACAGCACTTCTACTTATCACAATAAGATTATTAAAACACAAAACAATATAATATTAATAAACTGTCTCAAATTTGAGGAGTGTACAAGTAGTATTAAGCTCAGTTCACAATAAGATTGAATGTCATCAAAAATTGAATTGTAAAAAATTTTGTTCCGTATTTGTGAATAAGCACGAGTACATCAACAGTGACACTTGAATTACAGAAATTAGCAGAATTTATCTACCTCAAATACCCAGCATAGACGAGCCGTCAGGTCATAATGGTCAGCTTCCAAAACCAAAAATAACATTTAAGAAAACATGATTGCTAAATTTTGTCCTAAAAGGGAATAGGGCAGAAGGAAATAAGAGGGAAATTATTTCTGAAAACGAGTTACTCTGCTTCTTATCTCTAACTCTTAAAACCGTTCTTTTTTCCTTATTCTTACAAAATGTCCTCCCAGACGAGACTATGTATTCTGAAATACCCTCCCCCTCCCCGTTAAATCGGGAAATTCAAAGCGAACATCGACTCTGATTGATAAACATTTCCTATTGTCGGCGACTAGGGTAGAACGACTTAATGGGTGGTCACTCTCTGTTGGGTTCACCGAATCGTAATTTACTAAATACCGTGAGAATAATGTCAACTATTGTACCAGGGATATTCAAATATCAGATGTCTCCCATGTGGGTGTTCGAAATGTTTACCTTAAGTAATCACTGTCTGATTTACTCCAGGTATGTTGATGCCATAGAAGCATGAATTCCTGCAAAGTGTCATTCACAATTCCGAAATGCTAATAATTTCCAACCAAATATTTAACTGCCCTACCTTAAATACCGGACTGTTATTATGTTCAAAAAATTCTTATTTCGTTTAGACGATCATTCTGCCCACCCTGTTAAATCGAAGACCAATTAACTCATAAAACGCTGTCCACTCTAGTACCCAAGGCTTTTTTCCAGCTTTCTAAAAGCACATCTGGGACTACCAGTCAAGCAATTCTGGGAGTGTCTAGACTGTCTCAGGCTTCCCGTTAGAAGCTTAACGCCACAACTATCCCAGCCAACAGGAGGTGGTGATCGTTTGCTATTGCGCTTTCAAGCCGAACCTCTGCAAATTGAAACTGGAAAAATAAACACCAAAAATCGAGTTTTACTTCAGAAAATTATATGAATCCTTCTCCAGAATCAAACTAACATAATGTTTCAGTTTCAATTAGGGAGACCAGGTCAAAGGTTAACGGCAATAAACTCTCCTAGATTCCGCAATTATTCGATACTAGTACACAGATACTGATGATGCATATTATCTCGTTGCCTCAGGACACAATTTTAGTGACCAAGATTAGCGATATTCCATGATATGGACGGTGGGAGAAAATAAGGTTCCCGCCTTAACCTCAGATTTACCTCGATGCTTAGATTAGCATGCCAGTCGATAATAGGGTTATTTAGTATACAGCTGTCTAAGTGGGAAGAAATTTCAGTGTCCTTCATTCAATGTCCGACAGACTCTCATATTCAATGTCCCAAAAAGACTAACTTTAAGCAATCTGCTTGGCAAAGAAACCTCTAAACACGGCTTCAGTCACTACTTTTTCAATGGACTTATTCGGATACTCCTCATCACCCAAATTCTGGTACATTTGGTCTAAAAAACTATTAATGTGAAAAGACTTACTACTCTGGGAAGAGGACGGTAAAACTGAGGAAGGAACGAAAGGCGAGAAGTTGGTGATGGAGGTTGACCAAGAGTTCGTAAGTCTCGATCGAGATGTTCGTTGTGTTGGAGATTCAGATCTTGTAGGTAGTGTCGGTGACAACGAAGGGGAATAGAATGTCGATTTAGGAGATGTTGATGAGACTGTTTCAGAAGCAATAAGAAAAGGAAGTAATTTTAGGGTACTCTTCCGATTTAGTAGTGTGATTAACTTCAAGCGAACTCAAATAAGTTCTGGTATTTAAAATATAAGTTTTGTAATCTCATCAACATGTTCATGGCTATAAGAAAAGCGTGAACCAAAGCGTAGTAGCCAACTTTTCAACAAATACACCATTCAAAAAGCCCTGACTATTTCGAGCAGCAAACACACCCAAAATCTCAAGAATCAAGTCATTATGAAAATTGACGCTTGGAGAATCTCTGAAAGAAAGTAAATCAATACTTCCAGATTTCAACTATCTTGAGCTACATACCCCCTCCACTCCACATGTTTCAATTGATTATTTCGCTTATTCCGCTTATTCAGACCTTATCCCAGGCCTAGAATATGAACATTATTTTAGTCACGTTGGTATTTCAGAAAGTGAAAAATAAAAATGAATTATAGTAGGGAATGGTTTTAAGGAAGCAAAAGTATTACCTCATTTGAATAGTGAGCTAATCAGTGTCCACAGTTTAATTCACCGCTCTGATTCCCTGTGACATTATAATTATTTCCAAATCCAGAGGCTTAATCACTCATCCCAATAAAATTCATTGAACGCAAGCGATACTCATCACGCACAATAAGGTACAAAATAGAAAATTACTCTTAGATGAGCTAGCAGCATTATTTGAGGCTGGATTATGAACCTCAACGTTCACCTCGAGTACAGCTGCGTCTTCATGCGAAGATCGCCCGTTTCTATCCTTGTCTTTGGTAATTGTGGCATTCGAAGTGTTGAAACCTGGTAAGTAATCAAGAGGGAGGGGCGAGAGCTCAACCATTGCTGGGCTCTCGTCATCAGATCTGCAATGAAAATCATAGAAATTGTTTTTAATGCGTCAGCATTGAATTTCAGTCGTGTATTTTATATAAATGCATCGCAATGATAAGAGAATGTTGACGAGCAAATTTAAAATTCGTAGAATTCATGCTTTGTCTCTGAAGGAACATTTAAAGTAGGCTTACTCAGTGTACGACCCTCTCGATAGCTTGATGGCTACTCAGAAAGAGAACTTGCTCTCAGACCGGCGGTGCTGTGACTTCTACTTAAAATTACTTTTAATGGGTTTTACTTCTTCCGCCGGCCAGTATAAATGGGAAATCTGGTTAAAAAGCTCTGGGGTAATACAAAGGTGCGAAGAACTCATGCTTCGGTAGTTCTGAGTTAGAGGCAACGAGATCGATGTGGATGGGTAACTACTGCTTGTTTCCTACAATGCGCACCATAACACCATTCTTCAAGTCACGTCGAGCTTTGACAACACTTCATTTGGCCTTACCTTACACTCGAACCAATTTAAGAAGTCATTTCCCATCACTAGTTCTATGTCCACGAACGAGCATCGAACTCATAACCTTTGGACTTTGCGGACAAATAAGAAAATCATTTTGTATTATCGATACTTACTGCGAACAACTGGCTTCTCGCTAATAGGAGAAACCTGATACATCTAACTTAATGCGCACTTCAAAAGGAAGTAGCCATAAAAGCCTCAAATTCTTATGATTACAATTAATCTCTACAACCCCCCTCCCCCTCCCCTTGAGCCCGTTAAACAGTATCATTTTGATTCAAAAAGGAGGAAACTCGTTTAAGAGTGGAATTAGAGGTAGACAGGAGAGGTAAGACAGGAGTGGATGGAAAAACGATACCCCCCTCAAGTCTGTGGCTTAAAAGGTGGTGGAGGAGAATGAAGGGGGAAAGAATCTGTTCCCACGTTAGAACATAGTTCGTGGGTGTGAGAACAGAGAAAAATTCTGCATGCATGGTTTTGTGGGTGTTTCCCAGCGAACTTTCGACATGCTTCACAAGAAAAATAAAAGATGGAGTCTCAGATCTCTCATGTTTATTTTATAATGAGGGTTTCCGAGTTATAATTGAAATTACTCACGGATTGTGGGTGCTGAGAGAGTGCATGCGAAAGGAAACAATTAAGAGGATTTGGGAAAACAAAGGCAATGGTAGGGCCATTAAGTATGATTGATACCGGCAAAATAGCTCAGTGTCTCAATTGTGCGTCCGAGGTTGGAGAATAGGGGTGAAAGTGGACAAAAGTGGTATTGGAGACGGTAATTAGGACTGTCTGTTCTAAGTTAGCACGTGATTCTACTACATGTATCGTGTTAATGGGCCCAATAGATTCGGTCATCAAGGGAAAACAAATGAGTTTTAAACACGGAAATAAACTCTATGAATAGGATTTACTACCAAAAGACTTAGGACCCAATTATGATTGTTTTGATAGACAAAAGAGTAGTCATGTCCCAAAGAGAAATCATTATATGACCGGACATTGGGAGCATGAAGGCGATAATGCCGACTAATTAAATTTATTTACAAAACTGAAACCAGTAAACCTTTTATTTATACTAATCAATAATCGGGGTCAAATTTGTCCCGTTTCCACATTTCAGCAAAATTCGGCACTAAACCTTGTAATCAAATTGAATATCAATTTCAGAGAATAAGCACTCGTTTGTTACTAATCTACCAACAAAGCTGAAAACAGACAGGAACAAAAACAACATTTTTATGATTAGAAGCTGAGTGTTATCGATAGGCGGCTCAAAAATAACATTATCCCCCCCCCCCCCCAAATAGTGGTAATACAGGAAGGTACTTACAAATCAGCAGTGCTGCCCGTCATTGTTGATGTAAGTGAAGTATTACACGGTCCATTACCAGTCGATTGTATCGGATGTTGAAGGGGCGGATGCAAATTATGAGCACAGGATACCTGAAATACCAGAAAGGTGTATAGCTACTTTTAAACATGGGATTTGTCACTGTAATTGCTATTCGAAATGCTTAATATGCCAGGATTTTGTGACTTGAACAAATTTTAGACAAAGATGATGACCTTTAAATTCTCCTTTTGGTAATAGCCTATAAAAGCTATGTGAAACAGACCCTCCAAAACCCGGATCCTCTTGTCATCATACCTAATAGAGGCATTCAGCTTTTAATTTCATCTTTTCATTTAATGTGCGTAGGGGGTGTCAATTTGTTGATCTGAGATGTAGTTTGGCCACCTAAGGAAACAATAGGAAGTTGTATTTGTGTGCACTTACAAGTATAAACTTATTTACTTGCTATTTGTAGGTTGATGGAGTAGAGATCAATAATCACGTCTATATGATCAGAAATCACAGGTTTGATACTCTTCAGTGTACACTTAATATGAATAGCGTGAGTGAGAAGTTAGGAACTACTTTCTTCATTTCGTCAGCTGTTCTAGAACAATTTGTTTACTACATTCAGATAGAGCCTTTTAATATTAAAATTCTCCAACAATTGTGCTGGAATTATGGTTAGAGAAAGCATTCGCATAAATTGGGCTTACGTTGCAGAAGCTGTGTCGAAGGACACATCCATCATGTTGTCGGCCAGTTTGAATGTGTCCAATACAAGAGCTGAGTACCGACTTGTCGTTGGGATGACTCAAGAACCGAATTCGATGGCCATTGGCCGGACGATAGGAGCAGGTGGCACTAAGAGACAGAAACAAACTAAGGCAAATGGATAGGGCAGTACATAACTTTTAACATCACGCCTGCTAAATTATATCGTCAATATAAGCCCATGAAAATTAATGATCATTTTCCGCTTTCCAGCTTGCCCGCCCATGAAGAGACAATGTTAACAGACTAGACGGTTCTGAGACAACAAAGGAGACGACAACATGAATTAGATGATGAATGGCCCAGGAAGAATGGAAGATGAGATGCTGTTGGCTTTTATCAAAGATATATAGTGGAATGAGCCAAATAACTCAGGATAGCACAAAGGATACTTGGCCCTGCAGTGAAAATGGTTGCTGTTCATTTAATCATTTATGACTAGAGTGTGAATCAAAATGAAAAAAAATGTTATACTTATAAGAGGGCTCTCTTTCAAAATGATTTAAATATAAGAAATGAACTAACAAGATTCATCTTTCCACAGAAAACTTTTTAACCAAAGCCTAACCGTAAATTGGCCTTCAAAATGATTGCGAATTGTAATTGTGAACCGATAATGCAGTGGCTAGCGTGGACGTCTGAAAAGTCAGAGACCTCGATTTCAAAGCCCATCGGAACAAAATGGGAGTGGTAGAATTCGAACTTCTCATCAAAGATGAGAATTGGGAAAGACTTCTTCAACCCGCATGGGCAATTACAGATGGAGGATTGTTAGTCAACTTGTACGGCATAAAGCTTTATGACTTGGTTTTAGAACGAATAAATGGACAACAGAGATATGGAAACATGCTCCAATTTTAAGCTCAATTAGAATAATAAATGAAAATGAGGAGTCTGTAAAAAAACAATTAAATAGAATAGTGTCAATTGAGTACGAATTTTGCCGACAAGGTAAATAACACTTCTGAGATACCAAAGAGAGCACTTATAGAAGAGAAGGATTACTAAACGACTATCTATTAATGTTATTTCCTACTCTGCCATTAATTTTAAAGTCAATGAACCTTTGCATACAATTTGAATGAGTTGAGGGGTGTATTCAAAGGAGTGGTCTGGCAATCATTGGGCATCAGTGCAAGAAAGGCAAGATTCAAGCACTATCATCAATCCTTGCAAGTAGACATATCACCCAATTCATTGTTAAACATCTTGGGGGCTAATAAGCAGAATATAAAACCTTAAAGACTGTACTTTCAGAAACAAAGAAAACGGGAAGTGTAAATTATAAGCGGCGTCGAAAAGTGGGGTAAAACAAACGGGGTCCCAAGGTAGCGCAAATGGCTGATCGTACTAATACTGGGGCAAAAGATTGAATGAAAAGTTGCCAAGAGTGACATGAAATAATAACATACAGCACTTTAAAGTGCATTTATTTATTGGCTCAGATTGACAAACTGGGAGTCCAACATTAAGGACAAATGGTATGAGTCTTACTTCAAAAATTAAGAAGTGTGTCAAAAATACAATCAGTTGAAGCACAATTTCACTGTAGCAGCTCTAAAGGTGAGGGTTTTAAAATGTTGGGAAATAAACCCGAAACCAAAAGGTGACCTCGGAGAAGTCTAATTTCGATCACATATAATATGTCAAATCAATCACAACAGAGCAGGCCAACAAACTAGAAGCATTTGAAGACATTTGATGTGGTCCTAGGCTAATAAATTAGACACCATGGTAAATATGCCACTGTAGAAACTTTTAAGATCAGCTAATTTCCGATATACATTGTTTTCTGTTATCAGAAATACCTGAACTAATTACTAAAATGCAAAAATGAGAAAGTAAAAATAAGTACAATACAATAAGTATTGTTCGACTGAAAAATCAATTGTTAAAATGTTTGGGAATAGAATTCTTAAATACAACGAGGCACAAATCACTATGATCTTCAGAATGTAAGACGAAGAAAGGAGGGTTAAGAGTAGGGGATCTAGTGAGAAACACCCCTGACCCCCCACTCTGTTGTGTGCCCGACGGTGCGGTGGGACCATTCCCCTCACTGGGTGTGCACTGATGAGTATCGAGTCCGTGACCTCTCAATTCGCCGACGTGCATATCAACTGCTGTGCTGCCGGTAAACAATTGAAATGCAAAATAACGTTCATTGTTCTCCGGTCTACTTAGTGGATTTCTCATTTTCAATGGAAATCCATGAGACTGTTATCAAATATTTTTTTAATCAATGGAAGGGATGGGGAAATATAAGCTGTAACTCAAAATCAGGCCGATGAGGTAGCAAATCAATAATATGATCCAAAAATAAGCGGTCTATAGTAGGTCAAACCAAGTTTCCGATAAGCTCCCAACTTTCCCACGGTTCTGCAAGATATTAAGAGTCTGGGCTCGAAATGATAATTATGGATATTTAATAGATTTTCCAGGCGCCAATGGTGAGAAATTGATGACATTGAGTGTCTCGAATACAGCGCAATATTAAAAGCGTTTCAAGTACAAGAATAGTTTAAGACATCCGCTGGGGAAAGCTAATTATTCGGCAAATTTGGACAATTTAGTCGTTTAGACTACACTAATAAAAGGTAAATCTTATCAAAAGACCTACAGACGTTTAAATACTTTCAAGAACGCACCCAATTTATCAATATGTTTGAGATCAAATATGGTGATGGTCAAATCATTTAGAAACAGTCAAGTGACTTGGGAAAGTGTAAATAGGTCCTCATATTTTGAGGTAACTGAGTGCTTATTAAATCAATTAATTTCTAATACATTCACTTGCTTTAAATTCACCTCGCATAATGTGAACAAGAGTTTTAAAAAGAATCTAACTTTAGGAGAAGTCCCAATGTTTTAGCAAAGTGGGGGAAGTTACTGTGTGCTTTTCAAAAAGTAGCTGATCTAGATATGCACCAGATAAGTATCCAATCGCGTACGGTCAGTGCTGTGAAGAGCATACATCTCTTGGTAGAGGAATTAGTCTATTGTTATTCTTCCATGCCAATGGCAGCATGAAGTCTCATCACTGGCATTTTAATGACTAACCAGACGTCTAATAAGCAGTTGTATAGTCTTAATAACTTAGCCATCGATTGAATTACATATCTTCTAATTTCTTTCTCTGTATGATTAAGAAACTGTAATTATGATACACCACAGTGAGTATCAAACAATACCACATTGATAGCCAAGAATATGGCACATCCCACATATTGCTTAGAACTGATTTTTGGGATTTTAGAACACCAATCGCTATTTTGGATCAGGAAGACGGTAGACTATCACAGACAATGAATAGAGATTGGTACTGTTCTAATTGGAAGCTGACATCCTGCCACGACAGTGTAATTTGTGGTCGGGGTAGATATGTACGATGACCATCGTGCTGCCAATGCCAACCAGACTTTATGGTCTGATTCCTTCCTACGCCTAGTTCACCCTTTACAGGATCATTTTAATTCCTCCATGTGTCTAATTACTTTCCGACGATACAAAATGGTCACTTTCATCCTCACCAAGATAAGCTATAACAATGAGAAATATATATTTAGAAAACGTGGACCTGCTTTAAGTCGGATTTTCAGAACTATCACTACGTTTACAATTTCATGTCAGATGGCACAATGAAGGACTGATACCCCCCCCCCCACGCCTACTTAGGAAAATATTCATTGAAATCCCATCTTGGAAAGAGCCCCAAGTTACTTTAGTCCCTTTGTGGTAAGCACGACTTATTAGGTGTGAACGGTGATCCCACCCCCACCACAGCACGGAAAATGATAAGGATCATGGATCCCTGGACCTCTGATTCTACTAAAAAAAGCGATGAGACTCAGACCCATGTCATTCCGAAACAGTACACTAAATGCCTCACCAAAGATCATATGATAAACCGTGTTCCAACATTAATTTTGAAAGGAAAAAACTTCCAGGGTGAGAAACTCGAATTCTCTATTTGCCAAATCTAACAAACACAGTTTTCGACTTTGCTAATACAACTCACGTTTTCTGACTTCATAGTGGTGCATGTTAAATGCTGCGCTTTTGAGATTGAAGGGCCAAATCATATTACACGAAAACTAGCAATAATAACTAGTGCCCAGGTTAAAAAACACGAATAACGAAGCTCTGACGGCTTATAGAGATCACTGCCAAGCCAGTACAGGTAGGCATGCGCATAAGGTTAGGATAGGCTAGTGAGCGAATTGTACGCACACCATGTCCAAGATGGGGGTCATACGACCTCAATGCGATACGAGACCAGACAACGCACACACACACACACACCCAAGTGCAACGTGGTGCATAACTAGGCGAGTAAGCCGGGCAAGCAAACAGGCAAGTAACCGCTCTCTGCCACTCCTATTCTCTGCTAGCAACTTCATTCGTTGACTGAGAATGAGGCCATGTGCGACCGTGGCTCTATCTCTCGTGTACAGAGCGATTGAATGACAGACGCACCCACTCCCAGCCGATTATATTTGTAACACGGCTTGCAGTAGCTAACTGGCCGGCCGGTGATTGAGCTTGCCAAGTCCAGTTATGCAGCGCGAGACAAAAACACGCTCATTCGTTCTCCACTAATATTTGTCTATCCTCTTTTTGATATAGCATAGCTATACCTCGAATGGAGTCCTTCAATTAGACGGTCATACCATTCAATGTACCTGTCCTATAATTTAACATTGAATCAACGGGGAGGTATACTGGAACTACACACAAAAGACTCCAGAGGTATTACGTCTTGACTAGATCACATCATAGAATATTGAAACCATTACACCTTTTTAGATAGGCAAACGACTTGTATTTGGTGTCAGAAGTCAATTATAAACAATTAACCGTGTCACGAATGGGGATTGTTCGGTGGTCAGACCTTGAGGGCGTGGATACCACAAAAATAGTACAGTGGGTAACACCTCCTAATGTAGAGACCAATGCGCATTGGCACAAAACCTTTGAGAGGATAGAGGAATCACAATAGTTGAAAAAAGACTAAGAAGCGCAGTAGAGTGAGGGTCCGGGATGACACTCCACTATCAGCGATGTTCAAAAGCATTTCCTTTCAACGGAAGTTCAAGAGCTCGATGTCTATTGGCACATGTCAACTGGACAGAATAATCAAACTCATTGTTGGTAAAAAAGAGGACTGCTAATTTCGAGATGCTCACAGGAGACCTCATGGTTTTACTCATTGGCCCAATATGAAAGAAAACATTTTTAAACTGTCCAAGAGTCATTAATATGATGATGAGGATTGCGGAAGTGACGAGAGGTTTACGTCATTTGCAATAAGGATTCCAAATAAGCTGATCAAAGAATACTCCAAGAAAAAGGCCCATTCAAGTTATGGTGATTATAAAACATCTTCTTAGAATATGTAGAGTTAACAGATGCCAACAAGAACGAAAAAACAACCACAAAGAAATGTTTCTTTTCGAAAGAAGAGCATATAAGTGTAACCTATTTGAAAGCCATTAAACATTCTCATCCATAAATCAGTGCTATTCAGAGGCCAAATATAAAATAATTAAGGAATTGTTGATTATTTCAGATCAGTGTTCAAGAAAATAATTGCGGGAAAATTCTAGGTTATGACTATACAAAATCTGGATACCGGACCACGGAAAACATGGACTAACACTATGCCAAAGAAAACCCTAAAAAATAGATACTTATTACAATGCGACAACTTCAGCTAGGTCTTTCAACATTTACTTTATTGCACCTTAATATTCCAGGAACTGACTACTTAAATACGAGGTCTTGACCACGATGAGAGGAACCGATGGGAAATTGATTAAGCTGATTAGTTGGTCATGCAATTTTTGGAATTAGTTGTACTGTCTGTAAATCGGAATAGGTAGATAGCTAAGCTGGGTAAGGATAACAAAATGCGAAAAAAATGCCGAAAAAGCCATTTTTAGGTGGAGCATTTACAAAGTATATGATATTACTGGCAAATAAACACTTCAAGATTTTGCCTTGCGGTTCTGATGACTAAATGTGAATAGTGATACCAGTGAAATCAGAAATGAACAAAAGAAATTTAAAATAATTAAATTAATCCTTCCCGAACTTTGCACAGAGAGAGCAGAAAATCGATTGCATTTTGAGCGAAAGAAAATGGGATTATTAGGGCATAAAGCGGAACTCATGACTAAGGTGCAAACCCTCTGTTCTGTAAACAACTAAAAAATCAATAAGCGAAGTAGGAAAAGCGCATTACTGAAACAAAGACAATAAACGAAAGGAGTACGCACCATATTTTATGAATATCGATTCGAAGAGACTTTGGGCGTTGAAAATGGATGACCTAATTTTATTTCAATAGTTTTAAATTCAATGAAGTCTTGATGAGCGTACTCCTTCAGTGAACATCCAAAGAATAAAACTACGAGTAGCTTCCAACACTTGTAACTTGAATGCTTCCTACTATAAGTGATAACACTTTGGAAAACGTTGAGGGGCAGATGTTAAAATAAAGTGTCGATGAATATTGAAAATTAAATTGGTCGGAGCCTTCCAGTAAGCTTACCTTCCACGAAAGTGGGGAAGACAGATCGACGCAGTTGGAGAGGAGTCTTTACAAACACACCTTGCTGAGTTCGGCGGCCGTTGAGATGCCATGCTGGCTTGATTCTAGACGTGACAATAAATGACACTAGATAATAGTTCACAACTTAATTTTTTACGTTAAATACACCAAGACAAATATTTGATTGTGCATAATAAAGCACTAAAACACCTTTACATGATTTGAGTTGAATTACAAATTAAAAAACGCGAAGCAGGTTTTAAATGAGAATGAAAGAGCCCTTCGCGTAATAATCCTCTTATTCACGCATTCGAATTATGAAGCATCAAAAAATGTGTAGGAGGGACGCGATTTAAGCCCAGAGTCTGAACTAAAATTTGGCATGGTTAGGGCGAGTTTGAGTTAGTTGGAATTGAAGTAAAAGCAATCAATGGTCTGGAGATATATTCTTCAAAAACAACATAACAAAAATATAATCTATAGACTGAAGAAGTAGAAGAATTAATTATCAAGGCTATTGAATGAAACAGATTCGAAATAATTTTCTGCGGAGTAATTCGAGTTTACCGATTAAAATTCTCTCTGATTCTTCCATTTAGCAATACAGTTGGTTGTGAGTTTCACTGGATGTGAAACAAAATGAGTATCGAATTCATAGCCTCTAATCTTGCAATATGATGTGGAACAGTTGAAGACAAAGCCTTCAATGTAAGACCTAGCCACCGGATATTTGTGATGTGGTAAAAAATCAAGCTAAATTACAATCAAACCTCTTCTGACTAAGACACTTAAACACGAAAAAATTTATGCTGGTCCATAACAGAAAACAATGAGGGCATTAAACAGAGTGCTTAATTAGAGTGCTCCTCTGAGAAATGGATTACATGGAAAAAAGACTTTAAAGAACTTACTGTTTCACTGTTCTAATTTCTTAAATAAATGGGATTAACGCGTGAAAGTCTCAGCGAAGTGTATCAGCAATTTTTGTAAATCTATACTTAAAGCCTGAAAGCAAATGTTATCAGACGGGTGAACAAATGCACTGTACATTGTGGTATTAAGTTATTGAAGACGAAGTAACAAAGATTTCATCTTTTATTACTACAAGCTATGAAAGTTACATAGATAGTAGCGCTAACGGATAATGATCGTCACTAACGATTTTAAAACTAAATAACATTCCGTTCACAGAAGCGATTAGTAAAATTGATGTTAAAATTACCTCTGATATGTCTCCCAAGCTGGCTTGAAATTGTTTACCTGCTCCATTGAAAGGCAAAAGCACTATAGCCTGGTCTTTTCCAAGCTGTGCAGAAACAGAGGACAACCACCGACGTTCGTAAAGAAATGACGCAGGACGTGTAACTCTTTGGATCCAAGTGCTTAATTCTGCTGCTTTTTCGCAGGCGAAAACACAACGCCCTGCTGGTTCGACAAGATAGAATATCTTACTATCCCTTTCACCCGAAGCACTCGCTGAAATTCGACCTGTTCCATAGACACTGATATCTCCATTAATAAAATTCCAGGAGGAAACTAGAACAGGCTTATGACCAGAGAAGGCAACAAAAAGAAGTCGATCAACAGTGACATGGAGAAATCCATCACTTTTGCTTTCTTCATGGCGACGTTGGTATGGATGGATTACGCGAGAGAGAAAGTTGGAGAAATAAGTGTAGTAGGTGGAAGTGGAAGAATAAGTAGATGCAGAGTGGACGGAAAGAGGTTGAGCAAAATCGGTGGCATCAAGAGCGTCGGATGTTGAAGTATCCATGGTGCTATTGGAAACCCTGGGTGATGGTAAATACGCATGGAGACGACTGGATTTAGGCGCTGAACAGACACTTGCAAAATATCTGACACCTTAAAAGAAGATGCTAAAATTAAATTCATAAAAAGGAAAAGCTTACAATTGAGATATTCCTGCAATGTATCTGCCCAAAGACGGAGATCATCGAAAATTTCAAAAGTCATACAAAGAACACGATGAGTACAAATAAGAAGTATTGAGGGGCGAGAATATATGTGTATACCAATGTCAAAAGAATGGACATATTCGGGGCTTGTACTTTGATCGTTTTCGGATTTGCTAATAAATAATTTAAGTGTGCCTAAAAGTTATGATTGCGAAAAGTTTAACATACTAGAAAAATTCGAAGGCTTCAATAGGATACAGTGCCGTTTTTTCCACTATATGGATGTCAAAATAAAATAAAAATATAATTACTTTCTTTCGAGAGCGGAAAAATGGAAAACCTTTACGCAGGACTTTAGAGCCAGACTCAGACATATTCAGAACCAACTAACATTACTACAGAATCCCGCGCGCATTTTGCTATTAATGAAATATCGTGAAGGTTTATAAAATTCGTAATATTTTCATCTCAGTATATTATGGTAGTATATTAAGAGGAATAACAAGAAAACTAAAATTTTCCCTTTCCATGAAAAATTATTTTGTTTAACTGAATTTTAGCCCCACTATCCATTATTTGATTTGTTAAATTTATGTTGCGCTAAATAATGTTTACGTTACATAACTTTCCTCAAAACCCAAAGTCTATAACTTTACAGATATGGCCTTTGCTTTTGAAATGATTTATCAGCGAAAACTGATCAACTATGGCATCCGAATGTCCGTTGATGTCATTCTGCAATAACAAAATATGAGACAAAATGCACAATTTATTTTCTTTTGCAGATCACAGAACTGCAACTATGCTACAGATTTAATTCATAAAATACTTGCAATTCGCGTTGCTTTAAATGAATTAGTATTACATAGGTTTTTTTCATACCAACTTTATTCAAGGAGTAAATAGTTGATTAACGTTTTAAAGTATTACTTTAATCTTGAATCCTTTGAAGTATATACTCTGGAAGAATAAGATATATAGCTTATTGAAATATTTAACCTGCTAAACTATCATTCCTTTGGTCTAACATGTTTTTAATCTAACGAAGCAGCAAAATCAATTAACTTTTGTCATCCACCCAATCTGCTTTCTAATGAATAAGTAATTTGAGCACAATACCAGCGTCACTATCACACAATATTTCATTAAGTCCGTTGAAACAAATATTCGATGTCGGTTACGGCTTTGTGTGTATATAATTAAGAGAAGGACTAACAGAATGTGAAAATTTGTAATTTCGTGCATAAAATTAACAATTTCTTAGATTTTGATTATGGCCAATTTGCCCTGATTTAAAGCTTCTGGAGTGTATTTTTTATTGGAATCAACAGAGTGGCTAAACAATGATGCTGGAGTAGAGCTTGTTTTTGCTTCAAACGATTTTAACCCCACATTAATCAAAATTATTCAGATTTAGAATGAATTAAAGATGGTATTCAAGCGGAACTTTTCAAGATATAAAGTTTGCAAGACGGTAAAATTTCGAAACGCAGAAATGTTGGCCTTAGCTTAATTTGGCTTTTGATTTATATACTTTACAAAAGTGGAGATATCATTGCTCAGTGACGATGTATGCTAATTTAAAATGGAATTATCTTCAGAGTTTGTAATGGAAGAAGTTTAATGAAATACCAAAATACTATTCTATTACACTTATCATGCTATCTGATAAGCAATTCTTTAAGATGGAGATTTTATGACCAAAATAAATTCAATTAATTCATCATTGTAGTTCCACTTTTCGTTCACTTAGGAATAATCGACAACGAATTTTGAACTTGAGTCATCAAAGTATTTGACGCACTTGAAAACTAATCTATTGAAGATTAAATTTTGAAAATTTTGGGTAAAAATAAAAATTTATTGAAGAAAAGTATAGTACAAACGGATATAGATACCAAGATATCGTTAGACATTTGGAGCATTGGAGGATATTTCATAACATTTAGAGGAAATTTTTATGGATCATGATAGATCTGGAAGAATGCGACTGAAAACTAAACAAGGTATGAAATAAATTAATAGTGACAATAATAATGATAACGAAATTTTTCTTATTCCGTCCATTCTGTTAGTACTATTATAGAAGTTTACAACATCAACTTCCTTACGTAGCCATTAATATATGATGTGACAAACAAAAAGGTAAACAGAAAAAATTTCTGTATAACTTTGCTTCTAGTCGAAAAATCAGATTAACCATTACAAAGACGGATTAGAAATTTCTTCCGTTAATTATCTCCATGAAACTTTTAGGATATAAAGCGGCTATAAATTGATTAAGCTTATTATTTTGGAAGTAAGCAACAGAACACGAGTAGGCCAATTATGTGTATATTACAAGACATCTTTAATTCAAATAGAGGATTTAATATGTTCATATGTACTAACATTGCATGTACTAAATAATTGTAATAATAGTATAACTAGATTTTTCTTAATAACATTACGATTTAATATTTTAACCTCATTTTAAATATTATTGAACTTTGTTTTAACTATCTATTAATATTTTTACTAGTTGATGCTGCGTTTACAAATAGGCGATATTTCCATAATATTCCTATCGCCTGTTGGTGAACAGTGTTTGGCTTATAGGAATGTGTGATAGTGACTCCGAATTATCAATAAGCATGAATGAGAATGCGAATGATAATGAAGATGGTTCCATTGGTCTTGCTGTTATTAAAATTTCTGTCCCTTCGGTGAATATTGAAGTACGTATTCTCAATACCTAAGTTAATTTAAATGTTTTAGAAAGTCTATAACTTCATACCTTCGGACGTAATATCGGATGTCAAAGATTCGATTATCAAGGATTTAAACCTAGAATTTCGGGATATATTAAATTATGGGTTATTTCTGCCACCAACAGACGGAAAAGCCGGAAAGTTTTTGCAAGAGGATCGCCAACTTAAAGAATATCCCTTCACTAGCAGTGTTGGTTATTTTGAGGTTTGTGTCAAATTTCTTGTATTTACTCGTACTAGCTTAAATATAAGCAAAGAATATACCGGAACCTTCCTGTCAATGTAAGCAAGCTTCGCAAGATCAACTCAAAGGTAAAATTAATGCTTTAGATAACTTTGTTACTATTTTCTTTTAAATGAATTGTTATCGATCTGTTTCATTTTCTAGGCGACTTTGCGTCAGTTTTTGAGTCACGTCCGATTTGGTGAACTAGATAAAATCAACAAGTTACTTGACAAAGGTGTTGATCCCAACTTCCAGAATCGAGATGATGGAGGTGTGTTATCTTATGGAACACTATTTTAATTATTTATTTTACACATTAATTATTTTCATGCATTTTAGAAACACCACTTACTGTCGCTGTCCGCTTACCCAAGCCCAAATCAATTATTATGGCCTTGGTGGCTGGTGGTGCTCACTTGGATTTTCGATCTGCAGACAGCTGTACTCCTCTTCACAAAGCCGCAATCAACGGAAATTACGAGGCAATTATGGTGCGCTTTTCATTCTTTCCTGAATGCCTCTTACACGCATCTGCGTTTTGCGTCCGAAAACAGAATTAGTTTATAACAATATCTTTAGGGCGAATATATTATTACTTTAAATTAAGAAGTCAGATTAGTCGGGAAAGAAAATCGCTATCTACTTTGTTCGTGTGCTTTATCAAACCCTAGTATCATTTCAACTGTACAAACATCCTAGTAGTTTATAACAGGGCCGATTTCGTATATATGTTCTTTAAGAGTAGATAATGCTGGCATTTTTTCTTAGTTAAGTTCATTTTAAATTAATTTCGTAGAACCTAGAGCCATCTGATTTTAACACCAACTTATGACCTTCTTCAAAACTGCGGAGGGAGAAATAGAGGTTTTGAGGAAATTTAGTCGATATTAGTCGAGGAGTCTCCTTTGGACTGTTTGTTGATCAAGTCGTCTGTTGTTCAACCTACTCTGGGTATAGTTGTTCTGATCAGAAAAGAATAAAATTGTTTGTGATTCAACAGGGTGATTTGATCTGCTCAGAGGTTTCTTCGCCTTTGCTATACGACGATTTTCATAGGTCTTTTATGGATAAATCGACCTCTATGAAGTCGTTATTTAAGTAAATGTGACGAAAAAGTTCGAATTCCGAATCTAATGCGTTTACTACAGCAGAATTTTGTAAAACGCTGCTCTGCAAGTGCATTTTTCTTCTAGTCGCATAAACCCTTTGGTCACCGGTTAAAGGCTTCAGTTCATGTCGGAGAAGCCTGCTGCAATTTCTTTGCTTTAATGACCAGCACGAATTACCATGGCGCAAGTAATTCTCTTCCGTGCTTTAGATGGGTTTCAGTCATCTATTTTTGTTGTCATCACGTACATGACTAAAGTAGGGTTTGATTTTTTTGTGAAAATTTTTAATCTATCTGGGAAAAACCAACTAGAAATTATTCTACTTGGCTTATCCCCTAACACCCTGCATCAGAATTAACACTATTTTTTTTAGTGAGTTAAGGAATAAATACGGAATTCGAGCTATGGAACTCAGGCTGACCATTGTTAATGCCATACTATTAACATTTTTTTCTGTAAGGTATTACTTGACTTGGGCCAATCACCGAACGTAAGGGATTCTAATGGACTAACTCCACTTTATCACTGCATCCTCAATGATACATCTGCCATGTGTGTTGAGCGCCTTCTCTACGATCATTCGATTCTCGGAGTCGTCGACGGAGCAGGAATGCAGGAGATTCATCAGGTTGGTCACTTCCACATAACTCTAAGCGAAATTAATACAGGTTGGCTTTAAGTGGGTCTTATCACGGGCATTCTCAAATATCTCTTCCATAAGCATTTAATGCGTGCCATTTATGACATCGTTTTCATAGCCATTTATCCTTCACTCTCCGCTAACACTTTGTTCCCAAAGTATTCGTCATTTAACTAGATTTTATTAATCACTTATTTGCTTGCTGTATCTGAATTGTACATATTAAAGTCATTTCAAATGGCGGGCTTTATGATACTTATCATTACCCCTTTAGCTGACTTCGGGCTTCACAGGGGGGGGGGGGGGGGCGGGAAGAACATCAAAGTGTGAAAAAGTGGAGAGGGGAGACAGAAGAGTGATACAAAGATGTAAAAGAGACAGACAGACACAAAGGTAGGATAAGTACGCTGGAAGTGATCGAATTTGACATACAATGGGATCATGGTAGTTCGAAGTCAGAAGTCAACTTCCAGGTTAATAGACTTTTTTGCCGTATGAGAATACACTGCCCTGGGCGCACCGCGTGGAGGTAGGTCGATTACGCACCCCACATATTAAAGTTATCGGAGAGGGTGAGAGAGAGATGGGGGGGGGGGAGTTTTCGAAGTATCGCCTTTAATTTGTTTAAATTTGCTTTGAATTAGTAGCCATTTAAACACCCTTTAGCTTTTGCTCACATATACGGTAATTGACTGGCTTCACAGGTCAAAGATATTTATTCCCTCATTTATGGGCCTCTAATAGTCGCTTATTCCGACGTATTCCGAAATCGCCCTTTTATGGGTTGAACACAAGTCTGACGGATAATTATCAGCGCATGGATTTCACCTCTCCCGGCTTCTTCCTTTGAAATAAAAGCCTACTGTAAAATATGTTTTGAAATTGTTTATGACAAGTTTATTTCAGAAGTGGTCAACATAATCGCAAGGAAACTAACTTGCATGTTTCTTCTTGTTTACACATTGTAAAGCACTAATAATCCAGGAGTTTTTTGCTTTCAAGCGCAATTTTTCTCAAAGGTCAGGCCAATATCGTGTGCCAATGCTTGTTAACTAACTTCCCCTGTGGCAAATAATTTCAGATAAAATGCAATAGGAAATCGATCCAAACATCCGCAATAACCTAAGTCACATCAATCTGTCACTATCTTCGATCTAAAACAATGATTTTCACACTACCTTCCCTCTGACTCATCCTTTTCCCACTGGGAGGCTTATCGATTCCTCCTCATTTACTCATGTTTTTAAGTTTTATTCTGTTTTACTTAGTCATTTTTTTTCTCCATTTTCTAGCCTAACGCCTTCTCTCTATTCCTGCCGAAAGTAAACACTCCAACCATATGGCTGTAAATTTCAAAATTTTGGAAAGGTTTTTAGCTTAGGCAATTACATCCCACCTTGTAGAATCTAAAGCGGGTGGCCAGCCAAATCGTAGGGTAAATAAGGAGCTGCCTAATTGTGTCACTTCACTAAGGTGACTATGAATTTGTCACAAGATTCTTGATCCTGTCACCATATGTTCCCATGACAGTCTCTTGCAAGTCAATACCTTCTTGGGCCCTAATTTCTAAGTGTTTGGAGAGCCCAAGAGCTCAACTGTTTGTTTAAAATGAAGATTTAAGATTGTATAAGGGTGCAAATTGTGCATAGTGGTAAGACCCAAAATTCCATTAAATCAACTGATCAACAAACCGTGAATCTCACGGTATGTACTCATCTAGATAACAAGAAGTTGGTCATTCCTTTTATACCGATAGTATCGGAAACAGATGAACTAGCGGTGTTCGGATATCAGTGCCATGCTCTTCATCTACACATGCAGATCATTTAGTGCAAAACACATCCCCATACTTCCTGTTACATGGCGCACTATCTATAAACCCCGTCTTATTGTATATTCCAGGCTTGTCGTTTCGGTCGTGGGCAGCACTTAGAGCAGTTGATAGCCTATGGTGCTGATATCAACAGTCAGACAACCTTCGATGGAAATACTCCCTTGCACTTTTGCGCCTACAATGGCCAAGAATCGTGTGCGAGGCTACTACTCTTCCGGGGTGCAAATCGAACATTGAAAAATCGGGCCGGACACACAGCTCAACAAGAGGCTATTCTGGCCAATCATAGCACCACAGCTGCTCTCATTTGGGATTTCCAGGATAAGGATGTTGGTAAATGCTTATTATATCTTTAATTGATTTAACTCTACAGGGTACACACACACACACACTTAATTAGCCGAACTTACAGAGGAAATAAATTGATTCGAAATTGTTTTTGCCCATTGAATCATAAGGAACTTTAATTGCAAGATCTATACTCATTCTCTTAACAATGTCACCTTAATTACTGCTTTTACATTGTTGGATCTTGAATTTTTGTAGTTAAGTTGAATTAGGAGTTAAAGTACACCAGGTCAAAGTCTGAAGGCACGTGCTTGGTAACTACCAAGATACCCCAAGAGAATTAGTTAAGTCTAGTCGATAAAATGTGTGACAGAATTAGAGTCTATTCACAAAATACCTGCCTGATGGTACGACTCTATTTATAATGGTGTTACTATTACAAGCATATTATATCTACTAACTTGTTCAACAATATTATTAGTGACGAGAAAGCGAATTACTTTGAGTGGATACTTTTTATACCCCCTTAGGAAAGGAAAACAGGATATGCTTTCAAAAAAAGATGAAAGTAGATTCCAAAATTCAAACAAATCAAGTTCCCTCAGTTAAATTAATAAATAAGGCTATCGTGGAATTCAAGGGAGAAATCGTGAATTTTGTAATAACTGCCTGGTTTAGAGAAGTTATATTCATTTATTAACTTATTACGTATGGTTGATTAAAATGCTGCTATTAAGTCCTTCTACTTAGACAACCTCCTTCAATTATGTCTAGAAGTCAGGACATCGATACTCGTTGATGCAAATCCGGTGTTGTGTAAGTAGTCATTCCCGTTGGGTTCATTGGACCTCTAATAGGGTGGTTGAATGCGCGCTTTAAAATAAACTAACCTCATTTACCTAAAACTTATTTGTTTCTTATTGATCATGGGTAGTTATGTCGGCCGTAACTATATAGCATCAATTGATCTCTTGGAGAAAGTTGGTGCCGTGCAAATCGTTTTATCATTCACTCTTCCATTCTACCAGCTCTCATAGTGCTGACGCGTTTACAATTTTTCGCAAATATTTATTAGAATTAAAGCCGTCATTTAACAGAAAATAAGTTAATTCAAATTGGATTTTCTTAATTATTACCTAATGGAAATGAAAATGTCATTTTCATCGAATGTTAAGGTGACAGTTTAATCTCGTTTTTATACAGCCCTTTTCGTGTTTCCTTTAGATTTAAATTCAAAGTGACTAGGAATGAGGCATATTATGATCAAAATGTCTTCACTCAATAACAATTCCATTGGATCATCATTTTAGGAAATCATTTAAACTCTACATGTTTTGTGATGATTAAATTTTTTTATAGCTCATTGGAAGTAAAAGTCTGGTAAATTTATCTGAGAACTTCTTTTCCAACCAAAACCCATCATTCCTTTCCTTCTTCTTATGCCTAACTGATTTTGAGAGAAAAAAACGCTTTGTTTTTTTGTTTTATTCCATATTAATGCTGAGATATTTCTTTGGAATCCCTTTTTCATTTTCTTGTAATCTGAAAGTCAGCAGATTCTAACTTTTACATCTTCAATTAGAGTATCATGGCCATCTAACAAGAAAATCAGCAATTCCATTCCGAGGCCTATTCAACGCGTCAATTAGTCGAATCAACGACTGAAATTGGGAGTGAGGGGGGAGGGGAGGGGAGGGGAGTGGAGCTATTTTCACCAAGAAATATGGCGAAGATGAACAGAGAAAAAAATTAATGATCCGCGTTGTATTTCAGTTTATATGCTGAAATTTCATTTTCTCCGTGTTTTTTCCGCACATTATTGGGGTCAAAAGTCTAATAAATTTTATCTTCTAAGACCTATTTCATTTAAAGGAAAATTACCTACCCAAACACCTCTCATGTGCACAGTCGCGGTCAACAGGATCAAATTTAAAAACAAATTTCATTAGAACTACTGGTGCATGTTTGACCTCTCTCTCTCTCCATTACTCAGTTGGTGTCTTTTGTCTACATTAAGTTCATTCTGTGTGGGACGATCTCGCGTTTTCCAGACTATAGAAAATACGCTCTATATGTTACCTTTGATGATTTTGCAATTAAGCACGCGGACTAAACTTTGCTCATTTTAAGGAATATATAAAAGTACTAATCTATTTGATTTTCAGTTTAATAGAAGTTGGTAATTTGAGGAGATTATTATTGATTAGAAGGTCTGATGAGGCCTGCTAAATTGTAACATCTTGTACTTATGTTGTGGTGATTGTGAATGTTCATGTAATTTGTTTAGCATTTTTAAATGTTTTGTTTAGCATTTTTTGGGAGTCCTAAGGGAGAAGATTGCAATCATACATCTCTATATCTAAATTAGTCAAACACCAAATTTTGATATTTACCAATTGGTTGGTTTATTTAAAAGCACATACCCAGACACTTATGACTAAGCAGGCTGAAGATAAGGGTAGGAGGTAGTGTCTAGGTTCTGAAAGAGAATTTAGCACCCTTCCAACTTATTAGGATTTCAATAAAATCAACATAAAGAAGACGAGATTGTTTTAGAATCTTCTCCACTCTCGACTGTTAAGGATTAAGAACGACTCGGAGACCACCTAGGCAATTACTCTTCCCTATTCAAAACAATGTTGTGGCATTGATGCTTATTGAATTTATATTAATTGCGAAAACCTGTACACACAAGAAATAGAATGGAGGTAAGAGGGGTTCGGTTGCTAGATTGAGTGACTTGTTCTTAAGGTAAAAAAGTTATTTTAAATTGAACTTGGCAAGCAAACTCAAGGTCATGATGCACTAGCTCATCAAGGATTACTAATGTCCTAATGATTTCAAATTGCTTTACTTTCAGTTTAGGTAGCCATAGTGAATGATTAAAAATTCAAATTAGTTTGAAAGACCGGAGTGGAAGGTTGGTCTTAACTCAGGGCGCTACAGGTTTTAGAGGAACTTGATCGTCGCATTCAAGAAGACCTTTATGATCAATAAGAATGAAATCACTTTCTGGCACAATGGAATAGTGAGTAAATGTTATAGCAAAATTCGTAAATTCATCGAACATTGGTACTACATCAGCATTTTGGCCAATGATTTAAAATTGATTTAACCTTAACGCTTTCCAGGGTTACAGTAAAGCCACTTTCGCCAGAGATTTACATTCAGTACTGCAGCAATACAAATAAACAAGATTATTGACTTTTTATTGATTTTATCGGAAACGAGGCTTTGCAGCTCTATCGTAATGTCATAGCTCACCGAAATGGTCAATTAATTGCTTATCGATTTTTCCCCAAATTTCAGTTCCCCTACGTGGTAGCCCTAAGTACAATCAGAGGAGACGCCAAAACAGCGTATCCCGTACGCTTGGGCAAAGATGTGCAAGTCTCGGTCGACTCTCTGGGAGCTATATGAGCATGGAGACCTCGAAATCCAATACACTAAATCCTCGACGACCCCCTCTCGCCAATGCGATTGCTGATTTCGCAATTAATGGGCATGAAAAGCCACCACTGGCTAGTGGAACTTCTCTCTATGGAGATGGAGGTTGTAAGTTCGAGTTCTTTAGCTATGCAGAGCGTCCATGTAGTCACTGTGAATAACTAGTTTACGCAGATTAATTTCTTCCTGCATAATATGAATAGATGAGTGCTATAGCCTTGAGTAACCTAATCCATTTAACCAGATGTTGTCTGATATTGTGGAATATTGAAATTCTGCCTTAAATAGACCTCTATCTTCATTCAACATGTTTTTTTATGGGAATCTGTAAAACGGATCCTCATGCAGTTCATTGGGCAAATCGGCAAAGTTCAACAAGAAAAGGGGAATCGAAGCTGCCAGATCTGGACTGCATCGTCAGTAATACCTAAAGCTGTCATTTGAACGTATTTTCATACAATTTGTGTGATTAGTGGTTTTCTGTTGCATTTCTCAGGATGTCCATACCCTTATCTTCTGATTGTGTAGCAATCGAAGCTGACGACTATTAAGACTTATAGCACTAGCATAGTATTTTTGAATAGGGAGATGGATGAGAAGATTATTTAATAATGAACAAAAATCACTAATTAACCGTTCATATATTCGAATGTGCCCCATATACTTTGAAATTTTATAATTTTTCTAACGGACCCCAACTTGCACCCTAATATGGCATATTTTCATCTTCGAGATCGTTGCTACTTTTGTACATAAAGAATTCTGCTCTTAGTTGAACTATTACTTTTTCAGAGTATGATTGGAAGCATCCAATTTTGAATAATCATAATTTTCTTCATTGACAAGCATGCAGACATTCTATCCCTCGATATCACATTCTACAGAAATTCATGCCTGATGATTCAGCAAGAAGGTTTATTTTATGGTGGTTTTTAAATCTATTTCTTCTTCTCTTGTGGTCACCATTATGACTCAGTTAGGCGAACATTATTGGCATATACTGTGATAGAAATAAACGCTTTTACAGTTTTTACAGTACAGTTTTTATCTTAACGAAGCAATTTTTCAGGGGATATTCTGAATGAGTTCTGTCCGACCGGATAACTACTATTAGGATCTCTTTAAAAGTCATAAATAACATTTTACCTTATCTACTAACTGTGCTCACGAATAGACCTACCTAATGAATCTCTCCAGTGTAATATATTTCTACACTTGAAGTTTCTATCGAAGGTAATCGATAGCCGCGTAGACTTCTAGTAAGCACACCAATAATAAGTTTTAAATAGATGTAACAACGGATCTAAGCCATCTTCGAGCTGCTTCATAGCGGGCCAAAATACAATCCAATAGTTCATAGTTCATTGCAGACTATTTTCCATCAGTTACTCAAGATCATATTTTTCAAAAGAAGCAGACTTCAGCTTCTAACTTTCATATTTATTAAAAGTCTTGGCAAATGTTTTGCCTAATTATTTGTTGATAGGCTAGAAATTCCCAGTCCGAAATCAGGCAAGCAGACTAGTCCAATGAAACTGTTTAAACTTCTATTGTCGCGACCTTATACTTTACTACCTTAGACAACTAGAGATGTTGCAAGCAAGTTGAGTTTAATTAGAGTTCATATCGCATACAGTTTGATCTGCCATTATCCATCAAATAAGCTGAAACTGCCAAAAGGGGCAGTAATTGGCCCTTTAGGTAATGAGTGTAATTAGACCCTTACTTAAGGGATGCTTTGTGCGTCTAGCACATTCATGTGCAATTTATTCAAATTCTGAAATGGCGACACTGCTAACGTTTCCGAAATGGCGTATGCATTATGGGTTGCCATGTAAATATAAAAGGGAGACAAGCCCAATTGATCTTTGGCACATAAGTTAATTTATGCAGACAAAAGCTCGATAATAACCTCACTACTTAATTGAATTTCAGCCACCAATGGACGATTTTCGGAGGAGGGGCGTAAAATGTTGAGAGGAATACGACAGAACTCTCTGCCGGCAAGCCAATCCCTTCTACCGAATGGAAATCTGACCATCGGTTCATATCAACAAAATCGATCCGCGCTGAATACCCAAAATGGATTGTCACCTTATCGAGATAACTCGGATACAATGTCGATTAGAAGCTATGCCTCATCTGTCGGGGGTAGGTCTAAAACTCGATTAGGTCATTATCATATTCCTACGATTGACAATTTATCGATTATTAACACCTAGTCAGCGTTAAGAGCCCAAAATTATCGTATAATTCAGATCGAATAAATCAATTTGTGGCCAATTCGAATGGAATTGAATAAATTAAAAAAATTTAAGTAAAATTAAAGCCAATTCCGTAAAAAACGGAGTGTATTATCTGTTCATTGAGTATGGATGAGTGTTAAAAGAAGTCTAAAATCTATTATGCCTTAAATTATTGCCCCCAATTTCACCTTTGATTGACATACGTCGTCTCTGACCCACAAGAAAGTCAACGGAACACTCTCCTGTCCTTTAACATGATAGATCCTCCTTGAAATTTTATAATGTCTTTTTTGTTGGCAAGAGCATTAGTTGATTCAATTACAGTTGTATTACACCCACGGTGTTTTTTCTCTCCGGAGAACTCACCTTGTCTCTCATTGCAATGCGCTGCTGGTGTGCGACTAAGCTCACAATGCGGGCGTCGACTTAACTATATTTCTACAACAACACGCCCAAACATGCGTTCAACATTGGCTGTGGCCTCCGAGAATGGATGAATCATCAGGGGGGGGGGGGGCGTTGGGTTGACGTGAAAGCAACTGCTGTGTGCAAATCTCTTAGCTAAGCTGCGCGTTCCTGCCTAGTTAACCTCCAACCCTTCTTGGGTAACGCCCATTGTCATAATTTCCTCCCCCCCTTATGGGCTTCATGATAGCTGGGGGGGGGGGAAGAGTTTAAAAAAAACATTGATTTCTTTAACACTCGATAGGCTATATGACTAAGTATTAATCTTGTCGATTTTCTTTCTCTGTGACGGTTTTGTAGGCCAAGGAAATTGATAAAGAATTCGTCTTCGGTTAATGCCTACTAGTTGAATTATCCATCTGTTCAATTTTAGACTTTCAAGCAAATTTCTAGGCGGTTTTTTGATTAAAACAGTGCTTCTTAAAGTTAACCTTTTAACGCCCGAATTATTATTATTTTTGAAAAATGCACCCATCCGCACTCACGCGTGTCCCACAGCAGACTAATGCCGATGGGATGAGTATTAGTGGTATCAGGCGAAGGCTACACACGTAGTGAGCATGTTTCAAACGGCAATATCGCCTTCTGTCTAGAGTCTAGTACCAATAGAGCTTAATTTGAAAGAACATCGTGTACGATCCTAGGAGGGGGGTGATTAGCGGTTTAAACATCAGTATTTCTAATACGTATGTAATACATAAGGAAAAATGCATTGTGGTGGCAGTTTATTAGCATCATCTTTGAATGCTTAAAGCCAGAAATTCACCTTAGATAATCAATAATTTAATCGGATTTGTTTTGATGGTACTTTGGCTAATTCAACCGTGCAACTAATTGGAATGTCTATTAAAATGCCATTTGCTTATGGCGGGTCAGACGATGGAGTACAAAATGATCTCCGAAGCAGTTGAAGTGTTATGTGGCTGTCAACAGCGCCCATTTGCTTTCGCCTTTAATTAGATAAATTAACAAGGTGTAATACTTACCATTCATGTAGTAGAAAATGGTGTTTTACATTTCTTTATTCAAACAGCCCTTTAACACCATGGTTAACCGCAAACTGAACACTGCCACGCATAGGTCGCTATTTGAAAGATTTAATAAGAGAAGGTAATCTATGCTATCCCATAGGCCATATGATTAGAAATTGTGAAAGATTGAAAAGGTCATATTTTATAAAAAACCTAAAGCGGAATTCGTTATTAGTGCATTAAATACTCTGCTTATAAAAATAATATACACATCACTATTCGAACATGCGGATCCATAGCCATTGTTTGTTGGAAAACTTTGGGAAAGAAGTGGATTCGAACCATAATACCCGGAGTTTTACTTTTCTCATATTCTCAAAAGACTATATGAGTCTATTATTATTTTTTCTTGAACATTCTTTGAAGAGCTTCAAGAGTGAGTATAGCATTTCGACACGTGCCATTTCATTCATCGTACGGCTCAAAGCAATGGAAAATGGGTCGCCTTAAGTCCTCATTGATCGTTGTGCGTGATTTATAGTAATCCCATTGATAGTATGAGAGCTTTGTTCTCATTTCTGTTACTTTTCATACCTCACAGTCTTTGTTTGAATTATCCTCTGGTGGGGAATTGCGCCTTTGGGGTCTGAAATAGATATTATTGGTTATTTTAAATTGGATATCTTGTGAAATCGATACTTCGGCTAACGCAATTCACGCTCGTATCCGAGAGTAAAGTCTTCTCCGGGCTACGTGTTACTGACTGACCAGTAAAATGTCCTGAATATGGACAGGGGTCTGCTTTCACAAGGAAACCCTGTTGCTTTTGCAAATTCGCACATTAAAAGCGTGAGAACCAACGCTAATTTTTTGTCAGTCTTTTCTAGCATGCACGAAAAGGACGGAAAGACGAACTATATGATATAGATCGTGTGTTTATTGGTATTCAATTCATATATTATTATTAGAGTACACCTTGATTGAACACCGCTGAGCTTCGCTGTGATTAACAGTGCTATTTAACTACCCATATAATGTAGTATCACCCGGAATTCGTGACATCAAAAAGGTATTGAAACGGTATGGACGACCATCTAAATTAGTCAGCTGATCAACTGGCAATGCGTATTTTTCCGTTATTCACACACACACACACACACACGATGACTCGTAAGCTTTGAATTTTGGAGCATGAACTAACCAATTGAGCAATTATAATGCACATCGAATTCAAAGTTCAAGTGAAATTAGACTCTTTTTTGGTTTGAGACATTCTCCCCCCCCCCCCCCCACCTTATCGCTTTACTGTTAGCCGTTATCAAGTGCTTTTCAAAGAGAAAGTGTTTAATATTTTGCCTTACCAACAATAAAAATCCATTTTAAAGAAAAGGTCATTTGGGAATAAAATTAAAATGTCAACTATACTGTCTGGTGAATTTCTTGTGAATTAGTCCCGACTCCTAGTGCAAATCAACAACTCAGCAACACTTGAACTTTGCTCACGTATTTCAGCGCTTATTACAGAGGAGTGGGCAGTAAGTCCAGGAACATTATTTGTCCAAGAAAGTTTCCATTAAGTATTTCCAACGATTGCATTTAATCGCATTTTCAAATTAGTAAGGAAGACTATTCAACTTAAGGAAAGTCGATAATAAAGTGGGAATTATGTGGCCATGATTATAGTTTCATACAAAGGCAGTTTTCTCTTATTAAATATTGTAAAACACATTTGTAAAAAATGTGAACTAATAATGCATATAAAGGCAAATAATTAATCTTGATGCTGGAATTACTGTACAACCGTCAAATTCAAGCTGTAGCCAGATAAAAATACTCTTAAATAGCATAAGTCCTCTTTGATAATTGATATGGGTCAAGAGAAATGTCCACTTTTAGTGACCAAAATGGTCAGAATTTACTCGATTTTTACCTCTGTGTACACCTCTGACTGTAGTTACTTAATAATGGTGCAATTGGAATACATTTCCTTCCATCGAAGCATAAATGTTAATACCTTCCTGAGTCCACTATTCTTTCAGTAGCTGTCGACCTATCCTACTAAAAATATTTATCCGAATAAATCTCTGAAAAAAATGGTGGTATGTCGATCGGTCTTTAGCTTATGGGTGTGCTCATTTCTACCTTTGAAACTGGAGACCTGGGGGATTTTCTCAAGCATCCAAGTGGTCGTTTACTGTGTAAACGATAGGCTATTGATTAACAATTTTTGCATCTTTTATCTGCTCTCATTTGGTGCCATGCTCTCAATTTAAATTATTGTCAGCAATACTGCACTGCGAACCTATAACAAATCTTACTTTCAACTAGATTGTGAATTGGCATATCAATTTTTGATTCGTTTTTCCCCTTAGATAAAGTGTGTGTGCGCATAGTCGGGGTCTTTCGATAGGGAATTCGATTTCGGTTACAGTTATTTTTGGTGTGGTAGGTAGGACACCAATTGACTTTTATAAAACCTCCTTTGTTCATAACTTGAATTGCGTTTTAAACAAAAGCATTAAGATTCATTTATTTTCGTTGAGGATATAAGAGGCTTCGAATGGCTTAAAATATTTTGTTTTAACTAATTAAATGTCATTTTTCTTTTACTTCAGGTCGATATTCTGAGACCCGTACTTTGAGTACTTCGAGTTCAAGATTTAATACTCTTCGAGAGGGTCGTGGAGGCATTCTGTAAGTCACATTTCTTAATCTTAAAACTCCTATAAGTCCTATCCAAAAGAAATTTTTCGACAGAAATAAATATGCTTGCTCTGATCCGAACACTTGTACTGAGGGTTCATTACCATAAAAGTCGGACGAAAAAGAGGATGAAGCAGATCAGTGATTAAGAAAAAATGTTCAAAAATGCAACCTAACTTGAACACCCTAATTAAAATGGCAGTAGCAATTTTTTTCGGTCATTCACGTTTTGGCTCGCAAATACATCAATTTCTAGAGCTTTACCAGTCGGCCGTCTTATCACATTGTTCTAATTATCCAATCATTTTTGCAGTTCGAAAGGTACAGTGATGTGACTCTTTTTAGTTGATTTCCTGCATTCTCCTAGTTCTATTTTCATTGAACTGCGTTTATATTTTTTGTGCCCAAATTAGTTGTCATTAAATGTAGTTGCCGACTTTCATCAAATGAAATCCGATTCACCGCGATTATTGTAACATTGCAAATAACTGCGTTATTCCGCATTGTTAAAATGCTTTTCAAGATTGTTCTCTCCAAATTATCAACTCGGTGCAGTCTATTAACCATCCTACCAATTTGATTACGAGTTCGTAAGATACCAGTTGAATAGGCTTGTGCCTATTTCTTTCAATATTACTCATCTTGAAGAAGTGAAAATAGGAGATTTCGATCTTCAAACCAAAGGAGGTTCAAGGTTATATTTAAGACACTTTTGTCTCGAAGGTCTTCGTAAATGTCCCGTTCAGCTGGGGTATTAGTTTTTGAAGCGAATGAGATATAGAATTCATTGTTTCCGACATTCGAGGACAGTTCACAACGGTTCAATTTCTCCTGGCAACCGAAGAAATGTCTAATCGGAAGTGACAAATTTTACATGATTGGCTTACGACGATGCCCACATTTTTAAATTTACAAAGTTGTTGATTACTATAAGATGGCTACTATTTTATCAGCTAATACATAATTAGCTTAGGTCTATTTTGAGTTCACGGATTTGTACACACAGAGCTACGTTCACCGTCAAAATTTGGGGCGTTAACTGAATGTTACGCGTTCTTATTGTAGTCTAAAACCAGAAATCAGTGTATGCAACCAGTTTTCACAAGTTTCCTGTTTCAGTCATTCAACCACCCCTCAAAAAACTTGTTCATGCTTGCGCAGATCCAGGTCAGGAGATGAGGTTTGGGAGAACTGAACTAACATCTTCCCTAGAGATGGACATATACTATTGGTTGTTCAACCACCCAATAATGTACGTCTTGTGGGCTAAACTAGAAGTGATTACAAGGAATGAGGCTATTTTATATTAAAATAATTAAGTGAAATTAGAACACTTTGAAGTAGTTGCTAGTAGCAATGGGGCGACTGGAAGCAGATGGACAATGTATGCGTTATTTGCCCAGTCGCAAATTCATTTAAATTAAGAAGGGGTGGAATATTCGTTGAACTGCAAAACTTTTAACTTAAGTAGACAAAAGCAGTGACTAATGTGCGCGTTTGTTATACCAGAGGTCACACATCCTGTGAAATGAGCTGTTTGCTACACAGTGACCAATTCTACTCAACAGGTACAATTTTAAAGTGTGACTTTTCCATAAGTGATTTCAGGATACTCATCCACTACCCAGCGTATATTGAACTCTCCTCCTAATGAGTTTGTAAATTTTTAAGTTACCACATTACATTACTGAGGTATACTTTAAGCAATGGGTTTTTATGACCTCGCTGACAAGTTATAAACGGTAGTTGGTTCTATACAAATCATTTTAGAAGAAACATAGTTATATTCGGACTTCCTTCAGCAACAATAGACTCCAACTTTCATGAAGTTGAGGTTGTTTGCAAATTTTTAACTGTCCTCCAATCGTTGACGTTACCTAGAAAAAAATGATCAATTGCATTTAAGGTCATGGTAAACCACCTTGTGGCTGCGTAGGCCACTTATTGCGCTTCTATATGCGTCTAGACTGACCTTGACATGAATTTCAGCAAATTCCTGCGGTACAGTAGGAGGAAGAGAGCATGGAGAATGCCGGCAAGTTTCATAAATGCCTCAACTGAAAGCATTTATTATCCATATTTATATTACCTGCATTGCAATGTGGCCCTATCGAGAGAATTTTAATAAAGTCTGAACACTTCACATTGTTTGATTTCAGAAACGGTCTCATTACATCCCCTCTTTTCCAAACAGGCATTTTCAGTGTCCTACTTTCCGCAAGGTCTATTCTACTAGTCATCAATAACCTCCTCCTTATACAACGATTTTATTTATTTATTGGCTACAGAATATGAATCTCCTTTCACTTGGGCTGATTAGTGTTGCAATCTGTGTTCCGTTCAAACGAACATTACGTTGGAACAAAGTTCCATGCAATTTTTTGTGCAATGTGAGAATCACACAAATTGTTTCCCTCACTCTTGCTTCATTTTGTACAAACTTAATTATGTAGTCGATTTTTGAAAAAAATGGATCACAACTAATACTCGATTTCTTGACTTTTTTTCCATTCAATAGAGTTGTTTCGTTTTGATCGCTTTAATTAGACTTCTGCCTACTTCTCAAACTATGATTTGCTCGTCAATACAAGGGAGGAATAATTGAGACATAAAGTACATTGTCTGTAATTTCTTTATGTATAAATCTACATTATGTGGCCGATTATAATTTTTCCAGTTAAGTCTAGTCTGGAGACCAAATAGGAAGTTCATTTTTTGCTAGATTTGCTATTCCGGAAATGATTTGTCGACCTGTTTGAAAAGTTTACCAAAAGCTCAGATGAAACCATTTAAACGAGACTTCTCAGAATTCTTATTTTCTTATATTTAAATGGGAATAATAAAACCCTGTTTCGCTAATATTTTGGGTGAGTTGAGTGGTTACCTTCATTGATGTCATAAATGAAATTTGTGCCCACTGCTGCATGTTTTGATCTACTTCCACCTTTTTTCTATCATTTCTTGGGGCAAATGTATATATATTATTTCATTTTCAGAAGCGTGGATACAAAATTTCTACCCAGAGTGATTGTTCTTCAGAAGGGCCAACGCGGATTCGGTTTTGTGGTGCAAAGTAAAAAAGGTACACTTATTTTCGAAGAAATATTAATTGCACACAACAAAATTAGCCCTAACTTATCCATTGCCCTTCATTTTCAATTGTAGCAACCAGGGGCATATTTGTACCAACAGAAGAAATTCCATCACTACACTACTTGGGTCATGTTGAAGAGAACAATGTCGCCCATCGGGCAAATCTGCTACCACACGACTACATTCTTGAGGTAATAATAATTATAATAATGAGGTGAAATTAGGCAAAATGGGCAAAGGAGAGGTAGCGTCAGAGACATTTTGGTCAATTGGATGAGTGTACCCCCTCAATACGCCATTAGAGTAGGGTCAGTTGTAATAGTGATATCAAATATTGTTGGCTGAATGAACAATTTAAATAATCTTTTACTTACTAAATTCTTGTCCTTTTGCGCTCTGTTGAAAAGTATATTATATTTGTTGAAAATAGTCCGTTCCTATTGATGGAAAGAAAAAGTGCTATTTTGACACCTCCTTCAATACTAGTGCTCAGTTGTCCTAGTTATCTCAGTTGCAGAATGATAAATGAAAGCGAAAATTATGAAAATGTTGCCTTTTTTCCTTATTTATTCAAACTTATTAAAGAGCTCAGAGTGACTGGACCGAGTTTTTGCGTATTTGTGAGAATTTACTACCGGTGAGAGGGGGAAGGGTGAGTTGTCAGGCTGAATGCTTCAAGGTGTAGACCAGACAAATAGTACTCTCTCCCCACCCCGTCCAGAATTTGAGCGTCTGGACGTTGCTATTCGATCAGCCCAATCATTTCTGTTCAGATTCCATGGTGACCCATATCATTCTTACTTATTTTTTTCACTCTGACCTTGACTATCCATCAATCAATCGTTCAGTCAATCGTTTTCAACTTATTTCAGGTTAATGGAGATGATGTGGCAACTTTGTCGCATCAAGAAGTTGTGGAAATGATTCGCGATTCTGGTGATATGCTTTCGCTGAAAGTTGTGACCCTTCCGCCTGAAGACGATCAGCAATTTGACTTTCAAGAAGACAATATGGAGGTATTTCAAAATGGTAAGTTATTTGTGTTCTTACAAGTTTGATAAATGCACTGGGTTGCCACTGACACAATAAGATCGAAAAATATTTGTCTTATTATTTTAACATTCAAGTTCTTATTTCCTGATGATCATGAAAGCAAGTTAACAATGACCACGCCTGGTTATATAAAAGTCCCCTTTTTGATAAAGAGATAGAAGTCCTAGCTTAACGATAGGGAATGTGGGTTTTGACTGATTTATATTTAAATCAATATGTTTATAAACGGTTATCTTTTATATTCAAACTTTGATTTAAATCAGGGTCACGATTATTAAATGACAGATTAAATCGAACCGGTTTAAAAGGACAGTACTAATGTTTTACGATTGAATAAATAAATATTTTAAACTTACTAGTAGCGCCCATTTATTTAGCGTTTATGAGAGCGAGAAATGTCTCTTTTTTGGTTTTTGAACCAAGTTAACTACCGTACATTCACGGTAATTTTCTTAATAGGGTGAATCTAGGGAATCGAAAAGTGAACCTTGATATTGGAATTAACAAAACGGTGCTAGTTCTATGGAATTCGACCACGTTAAATGACTTAGATAATATCTTGAGTATTTGAAAAGGGGGTTTGGAAAATTAGTATTCAATTTAATTGTTTTTCCAATGGATATGGATTCTTCCAGGGAACATCAGCATATGATGCCATGAACTCTACTAATTAAGTAAAAATAGGAAGTGTGACTAATTGTACATATTTAAATTAATCGTTTAAGTTAACTTCCTTCAATTGGCCAATGTATTGCTCCATGTAATTGCACATTCTTTACTTATGATTAAAAACGATGCGGCCGCTTTTCTGAAGGTGGAAATAAGGGATTGACGCGCCCATATTTGCTCACTTTATAGACATACCTGGTGATAATTTTCAATATTCAACTCTGGGTCGTAGGACCAATGAAAACAATGACTTCATTTCGCAATCAATTGTACCGATGTCGCTCCGTTCAGTGAATAATGGCTCCTCTTCCAATAGACAATTGGATATTGCTAATGAGATTGCCTCGCACGATATTAATAATGGATTTTCGGTAAAGTCTTACTAACGCATTGATTGGAATATTTGAAACTGCCTTATTGTTATCGTATTGAAGCTTAGGGCTAATGACTTTCAACCCCCCTCACCCCCTTTGGTAATCGATGTCAATTGTCATTTAATCTTTAAATGTGTACGAATCTTTACGTGTTAGGGCGATAATGAACAGATCCTAATTTTCAAATTCTGCAGGATCACAGTTTTGTTCCACTTCGTATGATTATTTGAAAATAACTAATCCATTTATGCATAAGTTTAGCATATATATTATTTACGAAGAGCAGAAGAAAGTTTGGAAGTTGATCCTTGGAGTTTGAAATTATTTTCTTGCTTGTAACTCGGATCAGCTAGTACTTCAGCTATTTTCGCTTCCACAACATCCCACATAATTAGATTAAGCATTGCTGTTAATGCCATAGTTGGCAAGACTTTGTCCTCTATGTGAATTTATCCATTCTCGACCTTTGTCAAACTCCACTTTTTCAAACATGAGACTCTTGAAGGCATTCAAATCAATTTGTGTACTAATATCTAATTATTTCATGCTCAAATTTCATTTTTGAGATATGTAAATACTGAAATAAACTTCTCAGTAAATCGCTTTATTAAAGAAGACGCCCACCATTTAACAAAATCTAATATATATACACTTTTTAATGGAGGACTGTAGCGGATTGCTACGCTAATAAGCCTTGACTATACTCAGTAATCTCTTTAGCAGATTCTATTATGTTTTGGTAAGACTTCCAGAACTAGCTAAGCTATCGCAAAGCTATAGAGGAAACAGGCGCAACACACGGAACACGTTTATTCGGGATGTTTGCGAGCGGGTGCGTCTCGTTATATTATAATGGCGGGTTTGATAAACCCATCGAGAACTACTGACTGGCTATTGGCTGGGTGATCTCGCCCTCACGATCGCACTTACTCCATAATAGAAGTGGCACCGCTGCACCTTCGAGCCTGTCTGAGTGTTCATGAGATTTCTTTGTTCAGTGGTGACAGGGTTGTGCGCTCCACAGGACTCAATGAAATGATCATCGGCGCATTGTTACTAAACGAAGATTTTGTATGAGATTGAGTGAATAAGCATGAGATTATAATGCATTACATATAATTTTGCAAGGCATAGACCGGCTGATGTCTTTCCACACAATGAAGACACTTATCAAGAGAGAATTCAAGACCTTAAAGTGCAACTAACTTAAAGCTCAAATAAAGGAGAAACAGTGGACAGTGGCGCTCTCCGACATAGCCGACTGGCCAAGAATTGAAGCCGTTGGTGAGTTTAGACTACGTACCGGACACGATTGCCTGGTGAAGCACCATCACAGATTAGGAGCATACACTTAACCAGCATGGCTCCTATGTAATCTACAGGAGGAGATGAAGAAGACCCACCTGATTCAGTGTGCAGCCTTAATGACAACGACGGAAACCCAGAGATACTGGGAAGCCAGAAGCCAACTAATGAACTACTATTAACTGTCCCAACGCCTATATATGTGTTCCTCCCCCCATGTGAAAGCCGAAGTCAACAAAGGGGCTAATGATAAATATCATAAGGCTTGCCATTTGAAATAATCATAATAACAATGTATTGCATAGCTAAGCAATAGTATTTATAGAGTATAAACATTTATTATGTGCCCCTTGGTTGATGGATGAAATGCATTATTTCCCACATAGATTAATTCAATTGCCAATATCAACTAACCATAGCTCAATTTTTTTATATTTGTAGACCATTCGGCGTTCGAATGCTCTGGGTCAGAAATCTTTTTGTAAAGAGGTGCCCGACAGTGCGGACTATCATCAGGGACAGTCTTTTGCCACGATGCCTCCTAAACCTTTTCCCAATGGAAACGGCTACTCATCTAATGTGACAGAAAATTATTCGAACGCGGTTAGTCACCTTATTTATGCACGATCGATTTGCACTGAATCCACAAGTATAATTATAGCTGAATGATTTGAAAGGTAAAATGGTTCATTCAGTAACCCTTTGAAACTTCACCGATTATTTAGTATATAACAATTAACTATTCACTCACTCAGCTAATAAGCATTACACAGACAAGCCGATGATTGACTTCGTATCCTCTCAACTTGGTAAAAGGATAAGGATGTCTAGTTGATGAGGTTCAAGATTTCCCATTGTTCGCTATGCGAATCACATTCAAAGGCCCCACAAAAACAGACCAAAGCTGTTCTTAATCCTATAATACCCGAATAATTAAAAAAACGCGTCACTCGTGTTTCACTGCAGACTGATGACGCCGATGTGAGGAGTTTGGGTGCTTTTTCAGGCGAAGGCTATAGACGTACAGAGCATGTTTCAAACGGCAATAGCTCCAGTGGCGCTTACTTTGAAAGAGGGCCATACTGTCCTGCAGGGCGTTTATGGGTCAATGCTTAGGCTGTGGATTGCTTACTACGGTTTTCACAATCGAGACTTCAAAGATAAGATTAAGTAGATGTCAAAATCTTGTTCGTTTGTGACGTAATAAGCGATTATTAAGAACAATTTCTGTTGCAAACTGTGTACGGCTCGATGGATATGTGGAGGTTTCTCGACGAGGTGATTGCAAATGTTCATATGGTTTTAATAGAGCACTGTTCACAGTCGATCATTGTACATTGGATAATTTTATAATGTGATCCTATTATTTTTGCACTCAGGGCACACTTAGGAAATCAAAAGCACAAACAACTAATGGGTTCCCTCCACTGCCCACAAAAGCTCCCCCTGTTCCATCGCCTGCCCCACCACCTCCACCACCACCCCCTCCACCCTCCAGCAACGGATCGAGCACCATCCGGGTAACTTAACACATCTTGTTCAAAATGGTGATAAACTTTCATTTTATTCAAACCAGGACTCCTTTTATTTTTAACTATTTCTTGTAATTTTAAAAATTTGGTTAGAATTCCATTCCTCAAGAATGAAATAACACTATTTTACTGTGCCATTCTTTTAAATAAATTGAAGATTAATATTTCACAAAGCAAAGTGATTACTTTTCCGATGATATTGATTATGAATATTCGTGATCGTTTCGTCATGTATATATATATTACGTCGCTAGATGCTTCAAGATTGAAATGCAAACGATACAAACACATTTCAATCTCGAAATGTGCTTGTAGCGTTTTTTTTCCCATTTTTGTGCGTGGGATTAGATGCGTTTACACAAAACACAGGCACATTCGTGTTCATATATTGATTTTCTAGCCCGTCATTTTCACCCGCTAGATTTCTCGCAATTTCGATACACTCTGTCATCATGCAGACTTGTTGAATTATTCCATTTTACAAAATAGTTCTATAGGAGTCAATGAACATCAAGAAAGCGTTCCAGTCTTTGACACTCAACTTTTTATTCCGAATATAAAGTTTAATTAAATATAATTAAATATATTTCATTTAAATATAATTAGCATTCATTTTGAAAGTGGAGGCAGGAAAATTGTAAGTTTAAAATATAATTCATGGACCTTTATTGAAGAGAAAATGATCACTCGTTTCTTTTTTCCTTGTCGTTTTAGGAAATGTGACATTTCTAGGAGCGAAGTTCATTTTTCTGCAGAACAAATTGTAAAATATGCGTTAGCTTTGGTTGAAATGAAATATTTAAGGCCCAAAACACTGATCCATTCACTAGCATTGTGCCCCAACTGTTAAAGTTTCCAAAAAGCGAATTTTACTACTTAAGCACCTAAAACGTAGTAATTATCTTAGATAAGTTCTAAAATTTGTTATATATATTTCAGAGCAACAATGGGCACCCAACCGCCACAGCAATGTCAGCTGATAAAAATGGTTTCACTCGACGTCCTGCATTCCCCACATCGCAAAAGAAATCGGCAGAATCACAAGAATCGACTCCATCGCCGCCCACACTCTTTCGAGCCTCAAACGGAGCAGTCAATCCACTTCTTGCCTCGGTATTGGCCAAACTCGAAGCTTCTGAAGATCCTGACGACCTAGTATTCAATCCCGAACCACCTAAACCGGAATTTACACGTCCCGCGCCTGCATTTTCCTTTGAGGATAATTTGAAAGCAGCTATAGCACGACGAAGAAAGCAAATGGATCAGTCAAGAGAATCGAGCGAATCAGAAGACGATCTTATTGGGACTCGTTCGATGAATGAAGGCCTGAATACTCATCAGATGTCAACTCCTCCTTCTCAGTTATCTAACCAGCCACCGAAACCACCGAATGCAAATACATTAGATGGTCCGAGACGTGCACTCCCATCGAATCGATTTGAATTTCTAGGAGGAACGCATTCTAAGATGGGTCATTCTGGTGTTCCCCAACCTCCTCCTCCTCCTCATCCTCCATCACATTCATCTAATTGGACAACATAGTTGACTTGGTGCCCAATGTCTTGCGCCTTATAACCAGTGACCTTAATTCCCTTCCACACCTCTTCATATCTTTAAGATTTCTTTGTGTTTTGTTTTTTTGCTTGTTGGTGCAACACACGCACACATCTATTCGCATATTTATGCATATTTGTTTGCTTTCCTTCCCTCCTATCTAATGAAGTGAGTTTCTTTTAGCGTGAACCGAACTAAAGTACTACTAGTAAAACTAAATAACTTGATTTTGTATCAATATATCCTTTTTTCTTTAAATTTTTGAAATTATTATCACCTTAAAAAAATTTGCTTGACAAAAAGGAAAATTTGTCATGGAATTACATGGAGTGCGACAAGGTTTCCCAACTTCTTGATGGGGTAAGGCATGTGACCATAAAAGGGCGAGAAGACGATTCCAACAGAAAATTATTATTATTTCAAATGGCAGATGTTTTGATAGTTATCATTAGCCATTTAGCTGACTCCGGGATTCGCAGAGGGAGGAACATCAAAGTGAGAAAAATTCGAGAGGGGGAGCAAAAGAGTGATTCACAGATGTAGAAGAGACTGACAGACACAAAGGTAGGGACAGAGGTGAGGTGAGTACTGTGAAATAGTCAAATATGACATATAGTGGGGTGATGGTAGTTTGGAGTCAGAATCCAACTGCCAGTTAATAGACTTTTTGTCGTGTGAGTATACGTTGCCCAGGGTGCACCACGTGGAGGTAAGTCTATCGCACACCGCCCAACAGAATATAAAGTGGAGTGGCGGGCAAGACGACGAAGGTACTGGAGTCAAGACGTTAAGATTCCTACTTTAATTGCATTTTGGATATGCGTGCAGCACGATTAATGTGTCCTATTACTAATTCACATTTTTATGATTTAAATTCAGGGTTTATTAGATGGGACAGTAATCAATATTTATTGAGTGCTTCAGCTGGTTCTGTATGTGTTATATCGATTTATTAATATCTTCTTACAGTTAAGAAAGAGCTACTGAGTTTAATCAAATTTAAATTTATAAAATGATTAATTTATTAGAAATATTTTATAGAACTAACCCAAGTATTTTACTAATTTAAGGTGCTTCTTCTGCCATTTCGAGTATTGCTGAATCATTGGTGGCTAATTTAAACTAACTTCATGAAATTTTCGGGCACATTTTAGAGGTGTGCTTTTAGCTACCCTGGGATTTGACCAACTTTCTCCTAATTCGATGAAACGTGAGGTTATTGAGAACAAGCACTCTGTGTTAAAGTAAGCTTCTTGCATCCCGTAAGTGGTCTCCAGGTCACCCCACATGCTTACCGTTATCCCAACACGCTGCTAGGTAATTTACTTGGACAAAACTATTACCTGTGCGGAAGTGAGTGGTCCATCAACCGCCATGAAACGATATTTAACTTCTCCAAGAAGGGTTCGTGCTAAGTGAAATTATTTGTTTTCTTGTTGGGGGGTGGGGGGGGGGGCGTG